GGCGGCGGCTTTCCCCCCCTGCCTTTGTAGCGAGGCCTCGGGAGGCTTCAGCCACCCGGGCCTCGCTGTGTCCCCCCCCGTCGCCCTGCTCCGCGGCCGCCTGCCCGGTGGCGGCGGCCTCGCCGCTCGCTTGCCTTCCAAGCGGCGGCGGCGTTCATAGAGCGTTCCGTGCGCATGCGCACGGAACACTCTTGCACTTTTGGGGGGATTTAAACATCCCCCCGAAAGTTTTTTCAAGTTTTAGGATTTTTGTGCACCCCTGGGGACTGCCCCAAGAGTGCACAAAACTCTCCCTGCCCCCCAGGTCGCCCCTGAGCGCGGATTTAGCGATCCGCACAGACGGGGCGACTTGGCTATTAGTATAAGTGATATGGAGCAGAAGTCCATCCGTAGCAATTAGCCACAAGGTATTGATAGGGACTCCGGGGCAAGTGATGCTCTGTATTCTTGGTGCCGGGGTGGGGTGGGGGGCAACAGTGGGAGGGCTTCTAGTGTCCTGGCCCCTCTGCTGGACCTCCTGATGGCCCCTGGTATTTTTGGCCACTGTGTGACAGAGTGTTGGACTAGATGGGCCTTTGGCATGATCCAACATTGGCTTCTCTTATGTTCTTATGTTCACAAGGTCCTAATCTAATATACTAATTACAGAAACAACTAAAACAAAGTATATTAGATTAGGACCTTGTGCCTAAGAGAAGACCTCATCATTGGCTGTAAATATTTCTACAGAAGTGTTGAGCTTCATGGTTAATGCTCAAGCTGTATTTTTGTTAAAGAATCTGTAATATATTCAATAGCTGCCATTGAATGCATGATGTATGTGAAACATCTAATTGACTTTCCATGTTGAGCTTCGTCCTGGGCTAGGAATCGAAATCCATCCAATCGCATTGCTAGCCCAGGAAGCACCTAGCCAATCACTTTACAGCAAGCTTCCTGAGCGGGAACCCATGATTGGTCCTTATCTGAACAACCGTATTGGTTGGTATTTGTACAGTGGGTGTGGCTACATTAGCCGGGAGAGTTTAAAAGCAGGACTACTGCAATGTAAAAGCTGAACTGTTCTGTTCTGGCTATCAGATGTTGATCTGTGTTGGAGTGGTGTTCGAGTGGAAGAAGAAAGCTGTGTTCTTGCTGAATCACTCTCCGACTTCATTGTTAAGTGAGCGACTTAACAGAATCATTCTAAAAATACTTCAAAAATTCCCCCCCAGCAGAATATAAAAACGGGGGAAATTGTAAAATTACACACGGCGATTTAGTGTTTTACTTAGTTACATCCGCCGTGTTCCGGTTTGTTGCGATTAATCTTATCAGTCAGAGCAGACAAGTTAAGACTGACCTTGGCGGACTGAGGGTCTGATTCCGTATCAGACAGCTTCATGCGTGTTCATGTGAGGTGTACTGCCCTTGGATGGGGAGGTTCTGTTCCTAGTTTTGCCAGCTAAACTGATGGGTTCTCTGGGTGACGTCTACATCTCACTGACTTCTGTCGACAGACGATGCTCGGCTAGGCACGGGAACTGACTCGTCCCCAGGAAAGCTGCTGGGTGATCAGAAATGTTCTGCCTGAGATTAAAACCCGTGATGGCCCGGTCTCTCCGGCCTGTCTGGGCTCACCCAGGGGAAGAGGGAGCCGCCCTCCATGAATTTGTATGAGGGTGTAGATAGATCTACATGCACCTGTCTTGAAAGCGTTTTTGGCCATAGCTGCCCGGCGTGGGAAAACTCCCGTGAGTTTGTTATTCCCGGGCTACGCCTTTGCCTCTTGTGGGATCCACCCAGCGCTCTTTAAAACATCAGCAGCTGTCAAATTCTGCTTACCTGTCAAAGTCTTGGGACACGTTTACCAGATTTATTGTGGCAGTTTGGTGTAGTGGTTAGGAGCAGGGACTCTAATCTGGGAGAAACTCTCTGCCCTGTTGTTGGCCCTCCAGAGAAACTGGTTGGCCACTGTGTGAGACAGGAGGCTGGACTGGATGGACCCTCCTTGGTCTGACCCAGCAGGGCTCTTCTGAGGTTCTTCTCAGGGGAAGGCCTCAGCCTCTCTGCCCTGTTGTTGGCCCTCCAGAGAAACTGGTTGGCCACTGTGTGAGACAGGAGGCTGGACTGGATGGACCCTCCTTGGTCTGACCCAGCAGGGCTCTTCTGAGGTTCTTCTCAGGGGAAGGCCTCAGCCTCTCTGCCCTGTTGTTGGCCCTCCAGAGAAACTGGTTGGCCACTGTGTGAGACAGGAGGCTGGACTGGATGGACCCTCCTTGGTCTGACCCAGCAGGGCTCTTCTGAGGTTCTTCTCAGGGGAAGGCCTCAGCCTCTCTGCCCTGTTGTTGGCCCTCCAGAGAAACTGGTTGGCCACTGTGTGAGACAGGAGGCTGGACTGGATGGACCCTCCTTGGTCTGACCCAGCAGGGCTCTTCTGAGGTTCTTCTCAGGGGAAGGCCTCAGCCTCTCTGCCCTGTTGTTGGCCCTCCAGAGAAACTGGTTGGCCACTGTGTGAGACAGGAGGCTGGACTGGATGGACCCTCCTTGGTCTGACCCAGCAGGGCTCTTCTGAGGTTCTTCTCAGGGGAAGGCCTCAGCCTCTCTGCCCTGTTGTTGGCCCTCCAGAGAAACTGGTTGGCCACTGTGTGAGACAGGAGGCTGGACTGGATGGACCCTCCTTGGTCTGACCCAGCAGGGCTCTTCTGAGGTTCTTCTCAGGGGAAGGCCTCAGCCTCTCTGCCCTGTTGTTGGCCCTCCAGAGAAACTGGTTGGCCACTGTGTGAGACAGGAGGCTGGACTGGATGGACCCTCCTTGGTCTGACCCAGCAGGGCTCTTCTGAGGTTCTTCTCAGGGGAAGGCCTCAGCCTCTCTGCCCTGTTGTTGGCCCTCCAGAGAAACTGGTTGGCCACTGTGTGAGACAGGAGGCTGGACTAGAGGGACCAGCGGTCTGATCCAGCCAGGCTTGGCTTAGTTTCTTCGGTGCTTCTTCCCCTGCCAGGGCTGATAGCAGAGCAGTTCCTGGAGTCCACAGCCTCTCAGCTGACCTACCACGGCTTATGTGAGCTGACCTCCACGGTGAAAGAGGGGGAGCTGAGCGTCTTCTTCAGGAACAACCACTTCAGTACCATGATAAAGCACAAGGTAAGTGTCACCCCCAAAGTTCTTCCAAGGCAGGGGTTCCCACTCTTTTTGAGGTTACAGGCACCTCTGGAATTTTGAGAGGCAGTGCTGAGCGCCCACTCCAAAATGGCTGCCTCCAGAGGCGGAGCCCACTCCAAAATGGCTGCCTCCAGAGGCGGAGCCAAACCCAAAATGGCTGCCTCCAGAGGCGGAGCCAAACGGAATGACTCCCTCCTTGCACCTCCTGGGAAGAAGGAAATCCTGAAGGGGGAAATGGAACCACACACTGACTAAGGAAAGAAAGCCCAGTTGCTCACCAGTCCACCTTATTCTCCAGTGGAAAACCCTTTCTTTTGAATGAGAGGAAACCAATAGCAAGCCCCACCTTACAATACACAATCATTATACTTCTGTAGAGAGCCAGTTTGGTGTGGTGGTTAAGTGTGCGGACTCTAATCTGGGAGAGCCATTGATTTCCCACTCCTCCACATGCAGCTGCTGGTGTGACCTGGGGTCAGTCCCAAGTTCTCTCAGAGCTGTTCCCTCAGGAGCAGTCCTCGAAAGAGCTCTCTCAGCCCCACCTACCTCACACAGGGTGTCTGTTGTGGGGAGCGGAGGGGAAAGGAGACTGTAAGCTGCTCTGATACGCCGAGTGAAGGGCGGGGTCTAGATCCAATCTCTTCTTCTTAAATAACTTTAACTTTTGGGCTACCGCTGGTGGAAGGGCTGTCGGTGAAACAATCAGGGAGCCCTGCCCTTTGGGAAGATGCTGGCCCTGAGGGAACCACTGGCAGGTTCCCAGCAGGTTTCTCGGAAGGGGGCAGAAACCAGCCAGGGGTGGGCGTGGGGGCGAAAATGGGTTTTGCCAGTCCCTTTTCTGGCAATGTACTGAAGGCAACCCCACCGCCCCTTCTGCTGGTTTCTTTTTCTGGTCAGTCAGTGCCCCTGGGGCCTAATCAGTGTTCCCTCTAAGCTGAGTCGGTGTGAGCCGGCTCACAGTTTTTTTAGCCTCAGGCGCACACATTTTTGTCTCAGCTCAGGGAAGGAGGGCTCCAGAGCCAAACGATTTATGCAGCGGCCAAATCGCTCCGTCACAACTTTCATGCCGGCAGCTCACAAAGTAGAACTTTTGCTCACAAGACTCTCCACAGCTTAGAGGAAACACTGCAGGACTCCTGTTTGTAGGCAGGGAAAAGGCTCAAAAGGGAGTTTATAGGGTGGGTCCAGTGTTCCCTCTAAGCTGAATCAGTGTGAGCTAGCTCACAGTATTTTTAGCCTCCGGCTCACACGTTTTTGTCTCAGCTCAGATTAAACGAGCCCTCCTTCCTGAGCTGAGACAAAAACGTGTGAGCCGGAGGCTAAAAAATTGTGAGGTGGCTCACACTGACTCAGCTTAGAGGGAACCCTGCCCTCCTCCCCTGTGTCCAGGGGCCGGGAGCCCCATAGCGGAATCCCCCTTTCTCCTCTGGGCTGGTGGTTGTGGGGTCCAGGCAGCACCCTCCTCCGAGTGAGCCCGAGTGGGCCCGACGCCTGCCCGTCACCAAGCCCCTGACTGACGGACGTCTCTGTCTCCTCCTTCCCTCCAGAGCCACTTATACCTCCTGGTCACCGACCAAGGCTTCTTGCACGAGGAGCAGGTGGTGTGGGAGAGCCTCCACAACGTGGACGGGGACAGCTGCTTCTGCGACGCCGAGTTCCACCTCAGCCAGGCCCTGGGGAAGGAGGCCGCCGGTGGTTCCCCGCAGGAGCAGCACTCGAACCAGCGGCAGGTGGACCAGGTAAAGACACACATACACACACACAGAGCCGGCGTCAGATGAGGATGTGGGAGACCCAGGTTCGAAACACCCCACTCTGTTGTGGGAGCTCACTGGGTGACCTTGGGCCAGTCGCATAACTCTCAGCCTCGCCTACCTCACAGGGTTGTTGTGTGGATGAAACAAAGGATCGATACTCTTTGTAGCGACACATATTTTGCTCTGAGGAAGCCTACTGAAACTGGTGTTTGAGCAAGTCTGTCTGCAGATTCATGACCTTTGATGTTGTTCGTCGACAATCCAGTACCAGTACAAGAAAGACACAAGAAAGACACAAAGAAGATTTATTGTTTTTTTGAACTTTATTTGCATTGGATGTCGCTTGAAATGAAGATGACCAGGCAGACTCCTGCCGTAGAGAACTTTAAATAATTGGAGTGTGCTTGTCAACGTTGTGGAATCATTTTTTGATGTTTATTCTTGTGTGAATGTACAGAAATCTATTAATATTTATCTAGTTGTTGTAGATCTTCCTGGGCTGTCTGGCCGTGGTCTTGGCATGGTGGGACGGTGGGGAGGGGGGTCCATATTGTTAAGAGCTGAAAAGACAAAAGACTGGAGCAGTGTTCCCTCTAAGCTGAGTGAGTGTGAGCCAGCTCACAGTTTTTTAGCCTCCAGCTCACACAGTTTTGTCTCCACTCAGGAAGGGATGGCTCCAGAGCAAGCTAGTTTATGCAGTGGCCAAATCGCCTGCTCACAACTTCAATGGCAGTAGCTCAGAAAGTAGAATTTTTGCTCACAGGACTCCACAGTGAACATTGGTGCTGACCCCCCCGATCTTTTCTCTCCCCCCCCCCCCAGGACTACATGATTGCCTTGTCTCTGCAGCAGCAGCAAGGGGGGGCCGTGCTGAGCGACCTCGAGCTGGCCCAGCAGCTGCAGCAGGAGGAGTACCAACAGTCCGCGCCGACCACCCCCCCAGCACAGGTAGCGTGGGTTGACCCGGGGGGGGGGGGGGCTTCTGCGGACCCAGTTTCACAACTGTCTTTTCACCCATTGCCAGTTCGGCGCAGGGGTTCAGAATGCGGACTCTGATCCGGGAGAACCGGGTTTGATCCCCCCACTCCTCCACATGTAGCCCGCTGGGTGACCTCGGGTCAGTCACGAGTTCTCTCAGAGCTGTTCTCTCACGAGCAGTCCTCGAAAGAGCTCTCTCAGCCCCGCCGACCTCCCAGAGTGTCTGTTGTGGGGAGGGAAAGGAGATTGTAAGCCGCTCTGAGACTCCTTCGTGTCTAAAGGTGTTTTTTTTTCTAATTGTGGGAAGTAACAGAATCTTAATTATCTCCTCTGAGGCATGGAGGGCATGTGGGGGGCACGTAACAGTATAATTTGAGCTGGATGTAATTTTGTCAGCAGACATCCATTCAGTATTCTAATATACTAGTCCAAAAAGAAGATACACTAAAATATAGGGGGATTGATAGTCCTTCTGGCTGAGAATACATATGTGAGGACTGAATGAGTTAGCATATGTAATGAGATAAAAAGAAATCCAATATCCCTGTTGAGTCCTGGGGAGCTTTTTGTTCCAAGTGTTGCCTTGCCAGTGTGTGTACTGTAGTGGTAAAGAGCAGCGGACTCTAATCTGGAGTACCGGGTTCGATTCCCCACTCTTCCCAGGGTCATTTCGTAGAAAAAGAGGTGCAGGAGCTCATTAGCAAAACTAATTCGCATAACTTATTTGCATATGCCGCACCCCCTGACATCACTGGAAGTGTGTCAGAAGGCAACACCCACCGCTCAGGCTCCACTGGACTGTTTTGGGTTGCTAGCTATTGGGGGGGGGGGGAGCGTGCAGATCTGCCCTCGCAGAGGAGGGAGAGCTTGTACCTGAAGGCGGGCCGGGGGGGGGGGCTCTGCAACTTACCTGGCTTCTTCTTGCTCCTCGTGGCCCGACCGAGGGCTGCTGGGAGCAGGGGGCGGGGCTTGTTGCATGTTCCCGCCCCCTGGGCTCCTTACTGCCGGAGCTCCGCTCCTGTGCGCTCCCACAGGAAATGACCCCTGACTCTTCCACAGGCAGCCCAGCAGGGCAACCTTGGGCCAGTCACCGTTCTTTCAGAGTTCTCTCGGCCCCTAAAAACAAGCCTGGCTCGCCACCAGCATAATGCTAAGAGCAAGAACTTGCGGCTGCCGGACCATCTAGGATCGCCTGGCTATTCGACACACCATGCTACATGATAATTATGATTAAGTCTTTGCCACTGGCTGGGCTGGGCTCGGCCCCGACCCCTTTCAGTGTCCGCAGCCGTCCTCTCCTTGGAAGAAAAAGCATCCGCGTTCTCTTGGCTTACACCCGTGCTTCTTGTTTTCATTTCAGGGGAGAGGACCGCCCCCTGCCCGCCCCGCCGGGGAGCGCAGGCAGCGGCAGAAGCAGGATTCGGACTGCGTCGTCCTGTAACGCCGACGATGCCCGGTCACCCAGAGCTACCCCCTTCCTTTTACAAACTGCCAGAACCTGCCATGGAGGAAAAGTCTCCCTTCCGTGCACACTCAAAGACTTCTATTTAAAGTCTCCCCCTCCCAGGGGCCAAGAAAACCAAAATTTTAAAATGCGAAACCTTGGAAAAGAAACGTGTGTTCCGATTCTCTTCCTCCTCACCATCCGGTGACCTGGTGTATGGTTCTTCCAAGTGGGGGGCATGCGTCGGTTTCAGGATCGGGAGGAATTGCTGGTTGGGGTGTTGAGGGGGGCGGGACCACCCTGCCGGCAGGGGCGAGCTCAACCGCAGAGGCGAATGGCGGCCGAAACCCACAGAGGCTAAGATCGCGGACCTCTGTCCTCCTAGAACTCGTTTTGCCTGGGGGGGGGGTCCATGCGGGGAAGGGAGAAAGGAATGTAACCCTTTGACGTACACTTGGTTGTGATGCTCAAAATGGGCTCTCTGCTTAAGAACGTGAGAGAAGCCACGACCGATCCGGCCGGTGGCCCCTCCAGTCCAACACTCTGTGTCACACGGTGGCCAAAACCCAGGGGCTATCGGGGGAATCCACCAGCGGGGCCAGGACTACAGAAGCCCTCCCACTCTCGCCCCCCCCAAGCACCAAGAAGACAGAGCATCACTGCCCCAGACATAAGAATGTAAGAGAAGCCAATGCTGGATCAGGCCAATGGCCCCTCCAGTCCAACACTCTTCTGTGTCACACAGTGGCCGAAAATACCAGGGGCCCTCAGGAGGTCCAGCAGGGGGGCCAGGACACTAGAAGCCCTTCCTCTGTTGACCTCCCCCAGGCACCAACAATATAGAGCATCCCTGCCCCGGACAGAGTGTCCCATCTATAGTAACGGTAAAGGTTTCCCTTGCTCGAAAGCCAGTCAAATCCGACTCTAGGGATGCAGTGCTCATCTCCGTTTCTAAGCCGAAGAGCCGACGCTGTCCGAAGGGCTAATGGCTACTGATGGATCTCTGCTCTTAAGAACGTAAGAGAAGCCATGCTGGATCAGGCCAGTGGCCCCTCCAGCCCAACACCCTGTGTCACACAATGGCCATCAGGAGGTCCACCGGCGTGGCCAGAACTCCAGAAGCCCTCCCACTGTGGCCCCACAAGCACCAAGAAGACGGGGCATCACTGCCACAAACATAAGAACATAAGAGAAGCCATATTGGACCAGGCCAATGCCCATCCAGTTTAACACTCTGGGTCATAGAATCAGAGTTGGAAGGGTCCCTAGAGGCCATCTAGTCCAACCCCCTGCCCAATGCAGGATCCGCCTAGAGCATCCCTGACAAGGGTTTGTCCAGTCGCTGTTTGAAGACTGCCACTGAAGGGGAGCTCACCACCTCCCTAGGCAGCTGATTCCGCTGTGGCACAACTCTGACTGAGTCAATTATTTCCCAATCGCCCTGCAAAGTCTTTTATCCCACACTTCCCCCAGGAGCTCAGAAAGACATGCGTACTTCTCTGTACTTTATCCACACAACAGTCCTGTGAGGTAGGGCAGGCTGAGACCGGAAGCAACTGTTCCAAGGTCACTGAAAGGGCTCAGTGGGAGGAGCCTAGCGACTGCGGGTTACACCTCTGTAGCTCTTTCAATATTAGGGTTGACCTAAAGCCGGGCCTCTTTTGGTAAAGAACGTCTGTCTCTTGCGTGGCCCGTCTGCCCTGAACGACGTGGCCGCGGATTGGCCGCACAGTCCCGTGACACCATCGTGCTATCCCCGATTGGCTGGGATCACTCACGGACAGTGAAAGGAAGGAGGGATAAAAACGGGACAGAGAGGGAAAAGAGCAAAGATCCATGAGGAAAAGCACAACTGATGGGGTGGCTTGGGGGGTCCGGATTTTTCCCCCTACGAAAGCACTTCATTCCCCCCCCCGTGTTCCCTCTATGCTGAGTTAGTGCGAGCCAGCTCACAGTTTTTTAGCCTCCAGCTCATACATTTTTGTCTCAGCTCAGGAAGGGAGGGCTCCAGAGCAAACAATGGGGAATTTCACATTACCCAGTTTCACCCGGTTTCAAGCTGGTAATGATCCGTTTTGAAGTGAACCGGTATAGGGCTGCCATTTCACACATGGCTTTCCCCTTCCGCTAAAGAGCTGGATTTGAAGCGGTTTGCCATTTCAGACTGCACCGCTTTTTCCTGCTTTTTCCCCGCCGTTTTTCACCCGGCTTTTTTTTTTTAAATGTTCGCGTTAGAGCGCTACAGCGCTATAGCAGTATAACAAAACATATTCCGCTATAGCGCTATAAAGCGAATGTTTTTTTAAAAAGCCGGCGATCGCCCGCACAGGCGAAAAACAGCGGGGAAAAGTGCATCGGAACCGGGAGAGGAAATTGAGGAGTACTTGGAAGCGGTTGACAGGTAAAATGCTTCAGCCCCGTTTCCAGCCCTTGGCTCAATGCAACATCATCTTTCTTGACCCAGCCTGGCATAACTGCAGATGGTAATCTGAAGAAGTGAACACTGGTGTAGTAGTTAGAGCACGCCCTCTAACCTGGGAGAACCGAGTTTGATTCCCCATTCCTCCACATGCAGCTGCTGGTGTGACCTTGGGTCAGTCACAAGTTCTCTCAGAGCTGTTCTGTCACGAGCAGTCCTTGAAAGAGCTCTCTCAGCCCCACCTGCCTCACAGGCAGTGTTCCCTCTAAGCTGAGTTAGTGTGAGCTAGCTCACAGTTTTTCAGCTTCCAACTCACAGATTTTTGTCTTCGCTCAGGAAGGACAGCTCCAGAGCAAACTCATTTACACAGTAGCCAAATCGCTCACTCACAACTTTAATGCCGGCAGCTCACAAAAGTGAGCTTAAAGGGAGCATTGCTCACAGGGTGTCTGTTGTGGGGCGGGGAAGGGGGAGGAGTTTGTGAGCCGCTCTGAGACCCCCTTTGGGTAGTGAAGGGCGGGGTAGAAATCCAATCGCTGCTGCTTCTCGTCTCCCACACTGCCACAAATTTTGTAAGTCTTGAAGGTGCTGCCGGACTCTTGCTGTTTTCTACTGCAGATGGGGAGGGGAGAGCGGTTTCTGTGGGGCGTTCGGAGGTAGACTGCCCCCGTCCTGTGCGTTTCCTCACCAGAGAGTCTTACAGATCTTCTGCCTTGCACAGACCCAGCAGCACCTCCCGGTAATAGCCTTGCGTTTCAGCCTGGAAGGAAAGAAAGAGTGGTTCGAGAGGCATAGGAACAGAAGAGTCACCAATGTTGGATCAGGCCAAAGGCCCATCCAGTCCAACACTCTGTGTCACACAGTGGCCAGAAATACCGGGTGCCACCAGGAGGTCCAGCAGTGGGGCCAGGACACTAGAAGCCCTCCCACTGTTGACCCCCCCAAGCACCAAGATGACAGAGCATCACTTGCCCCAGAGCCCCTATCTATACCTTGTGGCTAATAGCCACTGATGGACCTCTGCTCCATATGCCTATCCAATTCCCTTTTGAAGCCGTCCATGCTAGTAGCTGCCACCACTTCTTGTGGCAGTGAATTCCATGTGTTAATCACTCTTTGGGTGAAGAAGTACTTCCTCTTATCCATTCTAACCTGACCGCTCAGCAATTTCATGGAGTGCCCACGGGTTCTTGTATTGTGTGAAAGGGAGAAAAGTACCTCTTTCTCTACCTGCTCTTTCCCATGCATAATCTTATAAACCTCGATCGTGTCACCCCTCAGTCGTCGTTTCTCCAAGCTAAAGAACCCCAAGCGCCTGCCTTTACGTTTTTCGTGCTCTTAGTTTTTCATTTGAAATACAGGAAAATTCAAGATTCAGGGGAGGGGCCCGGAATTTGCTTGGGAGGAGGCGAGTGACCTTGGGACACCAGGAGTCTGGGTCAAACAGAGGAAGATGGCTCCCTCGTGGCTTGCTCATGAGCGCCCTAGAGGTCATCCGGCTCAGTGTTCCCTCTAAGCTGAGTTTAGTGTGAGCCAGCTCACAGTTTTTTAGCCTCCGGCTCACACATTTTTTGTCTCGGCTCAGGAAGGGATGGCTCCAGAGGCAAGCTAATTTATGCAGTGTACAAATCGCTTGCTCACAACTTTAATGCTAGTAGCTAAGAGAGTAGAATTTTTGCTCACAGGACTCCACAGCTTAGAGGGAGCATTGATTCCAGCCGCCCCTTGGTGGGAACAGTATACTCGGCTAGGGTTCTCCATATTTCCTTTGAGCCCTAACGTGAAGCCCCCACCCAAATGGTACACCTTAGAATCGTAGAGTTGGAAGGGAAACTCCAGGGTCATCTAGTTCAAATCCCTGCACAATACAGGAAATTCACAAATACCTCCCCCTCGCTGACACCCCCAGTGACCCCTATTCCACACCCAGGAGATGACCAAAAAACCTCCAGGATCCCCGGCCAAACTGGCCTGGAGAAAAATGGCTTCCTGGCCCCAAAGTGGCGATCAGCATTTCCCTGGGCATGTAAGAAAGGGACACAAGCAATGTTCCCGCTAAGCTGTGGAGTCTTGTGAGCAAAAATTCTACTTTGTGAGCTGCTGGCATTAAAGTTGTGAGCGAGCAATTTGGCTACTGCATGAATTAGCTTGCTCTGGAGCCATCTTTCCTGAGCTGAGACAAAAATGTGTGAGCCGGAGGCTAAAAAACTGTGAGCTAGCTCACACTAACTCACCTTAGAGAGAACACTGGCCACAAGAACTAAGCACTGAGGCTGCAACCCTTCCTGCCCTCCCTCTCACGATCTGCACCAAGGTCACAGAATCTGCATCGCTGTCAAGATGGCCATCTAGCCTCAGCTTGAAGACCTCCAGAGAAGGAGAGCCCACCACCTCCCGAGGAAGCCAGTCCCACCGAGGAACAGCTCTGACTGTCAGGAAGTTCTTCCTAATGTTTAGCTGAAAACTCTTCTGATCTAATTTCAATCCGTTGGTTCTGGTCCAACCTTCTGGGGCAACAGAAAAGAACTCCGTATCATCCTCTATATGACAGCTCTTCAAGTACTTGAAGATGGTTTTCATATCACCTCTCAGTAATCTCTTCTCCAGGCTAAACATACCCAGCTCCTTCAACCTTTCCTCACAGGACTTGGTCTCCAGACCCCTCACCAACTTTGTTGCTCTCCTCTGGACACGTTCCAGCTTGTCTATATCCTTCGGATTATGCGGATCCTAGCCCGTTCCAATTGGGGGGCTAGGTTCCCGGCCGAGAGCCTGTGGGACTCTCGGCCACTGTAAATAACCTATTGGGAAGTGAGGGTGTGTGTGTTTTGGGTGGCGGTTTCTCGGGGATATAAGCCGGCTTGCGAGCCGGCCAAAGTCGTCTTGTTCCTGATCGAATAAAGTACGCTTTGCTGAAATCACTCTCCGTCTGCGTACTTTTCACTTTCCTCATCGGACTTGGTCTCCAGACCCCGCACCATCTTCGTTGCCCTCCTCTGGACACCTTCTTAAATTGTGGTGCACAAAGCTGAACACAATACTCTAAGTGAGGTCTAACCAGAACAGAGTAAAGCGGTAACACCCCTTTGCGTGATCGGGATGCTATAGTTCTGTTCAAAGGTCATTTCGTAGAAAAAGAGGTGCAGGAGCTCATTAACATAACTCATTAGCATATGCCACACCCCATGACATCACTGGAAGTGTGTCAGAAGGCAACACCCATCACTCAGGCTCCACTGGACTGTTTTGGATTGCTAGCTATTGGGGGGGGATGGGGGAGAATGTGCAGATCTGTCCTCGCAGAGGAAGGAGAGCTCATACCTGAATAAAACTTGGTCTTAAAGGTGCCACTGGACTGTTTTGGGCTGGGGGGTGCTCTGCAGCTTACCTGGCTGCTTCTTGCTCTGACTGAGGGCTGTTGGGAGTAGGGGGTGGGGCTTGTTGCATGTGCCCGCCCCCTGGACTCTTTACTGCCGGAGCTCCGCTCCTGTGCGCTCCTGCAGGAAATGACCCCTGGTTCTGTTGATCCAGCCCAAAATGGACTAGTTGCTTCCTAGTTCTGTCACCTGACACCCCCTCCCCTCACCAGTAGAGGCCTCAACAGAGTTGGGGGTCTCACCCGGATGAACGAATAGAGCGACATCCCGTACTGCTTTCTGAATTCCGCTCGTATGCTGAGGAGGTCAGTCTCGCTACGGGAGATCAGGATGCGAATTAGAGTTTTGTGGCTGGCGACTGGACCCTTTGGGAAGAAGGAGAAATTAAAGGGGGGGGGTTCAGGATAAGACCATTCAAAAGACCCACTTCTTCCATGAAAACCTTCGACCTATGTCCGAGCACAACCACCCGCACAAAGGATGTTGAACTAAACGAAACTTGGATTCTGCACTGGCTATCTCCACCTCTATCTCCCTTCCCTAAGACTGGGTTTTAGATTGATAGCTCTCTGGGGCCGAGACCCAACTTGTCACTGTAAAGGACCTGGGCAGCGTAAGGACACACACATCAAGCTACCTTATACTGAATCAGACCCTTGGACCATCGTGGTCAGTATGGTCTACTCAGACTGGCAGCCGCTTTCCAGCGTCTCAGGCGGAGATCTTTCCCGTCACCTCCTGCCTGGTCCTTTTTAACTGGAGATGCCGGGGACTGAACCTGGGACCTCCTGCATGCCAAGCAGAGGCTCTACCACTGAGCCACAGCCCCTCTTTACAGCTCTCCAGGGTCTCAGGCGGAGGTCTTTCCCATCACCTCCTGCCTGGTCCTTTTTAACTGGAGATGCCGGGGATTGAACCTGGGACCTCCTGCATGCCAAGCAGATGCTCTACCACTGAGCCACAGCCCCTCTTTACAGCTCTCCAGGGTCTCAGGCGGAGGTCTTTCCCATCACCTCCCGCCTGGTCCTTTTTAACTGGAGGTGGCAGGGATTGAACCTGGGACCTCCTGCGTGCCAGGCAGAGGCTCTTCCACTGAGCCACAGCCCCTCTTTACAGCTCTCCAGGGTCTCAGGCGGAGGTCTTTCCCATCACCTCCTGCCTGGTCCTTTTTAACTGGAGATGCCGGGGATTGAACCTGGGACCTCCTGCATGCCAAGCAGAGGCTCTACCACTGAGCCACAGCCCCTCTTTACAGCTCTCCAGGGTCTCAGGCGGAGGTCTTTCCCATCACCTCCTGCCTGGTCCTTTTTAACTGGAGATGCCGGGGATTGAACCTGGGACCTCCTGCATGCCAAGCAGAGGCTCTTCCACTGAGCCACAGCCCCTCTTGACAGCCCTCCAGGGTCTCAGGCGGAGGTCTTTCCCTTCACCTCCTGCCTGGTTCTTTTTAACTGGAGATGCCGGGGATTGAACCTGGGACCTTCCGCATGCCAAACAGATGCTCTACCACTAAGCCACGGCCCATCACCTTTCAGAAATGATGGACTGATCCCCAAATCAGGTCATACTAATAGGCAAAAAATGGTATTTTTCCTAGAAGAAAACGGGACCGCCTCTGGATAGCCTGCCCGGAATGCTTTCGGGAAAGGTTTGCTAGAGAGGCAGTTGGGCAGACTTGGATGGAACGACACTCACCTTAATCGCTTGGCGGAGTTTGAGGGCGAAATAGAGAGGGGTGTTCCTCAGGACTGAGACTGCCAGAGAGAGAGAGAGAGAATACAAGGACATGAGAAGAGCACTGCCAGACCAGGCCAAGGCAGGAGCCAACTAGCCCGGTTTCCTGTTTCCAACAGCATCCAGAAGTACTCCCAAGAAATCTGAAGGGCCTTCCCAGGTTGCTTCCCGTCCCCCAGTCCACAACAAGCCAAGCAAGCGATCCTTGTGGCGGTGAGTTCCACAGGGTAATTATGCACCAAGGGAGGAAGTATTTCTTTTTTGTCTTACTTGAAACTGACAGCAAGTCAATTTCATTTGTTCTCATGTTCTGTTTGGTAGAGGAGGGAAAGGGTCCCTCTATTCACCCTTTTCCAAACCAGGAATAATTTTAGAAACCAGACGTCCTCTTGTCCTCTTTTTGTCTAAACAAAATACTCTTTAGGCTTCCCTCTCAAGGAAAGATACTAGATCTTCCTTCCTTCCTTCCTTCCTTCCTTCCTTCCTTCCTTCCTTCCTTCCTTCCTTCCTTCCTTCCTTTCTTTCCATGTAAGAACATCAGAAGAGCCCTGCTAGATTAGACCAGTGGTCCATCTAGTCCAGCCTCCTGTCTCACACAACAGCCAACCACTTCCTCCAAAGGTCCAGCAACAGGGCACAGAGGCCGAGGCCTTCCCCTGAGAAGAACCTCAGAAGAGCCCTGCTAGATTAGACCAGTGGTCCATCTAGTCCAGCCTCCTGTCTCACACAGGAGCCAACCAGTTCCTCTGGAGGGCCAAGAACAGGGCAGAGGGGCCGAGGCCTTCCCCTGAGAAGAACCTCAGAAGAGCCCTGCTAGATTAGACCAGTGGTCCATCTAGTCCAGCCTCCTGTCTCACACAGGAGCCAACCAGTTCCTCTGGAGGGCCAAGAACAGGGCAGAGGGGCCGAGGCCTTCCCCTGAGAAGAACCTCAGAAGAGCCCTGCTAGATTAGACCAGTGGTCCATCTAGTCCAGCCTCCTGTCTCACACAGGAGCCAACCAGTTCCTCTGGAGGGCCAAGAACAGGGCAGAGGGGCCGAGGCCTTCCCCTGAGAAGAACCTCAGAAGAGCCCTGCTAGATTAGACCAGTGGTCCATCTAGTCCAGCCTCCTGTCTCACACAGGAGCCAACCAGTTCCTCTGGAGGGCCAAGAACAGGGCAGAGGGGCCGAGGCCTTCCCCTGAGAAGAACCTCAGAAGAGCCCTGCTAGATTAGACCAGTGGTCCATCTAGTCCAGCCTCCTGTCTCACACAGGAGCCAACCAGTTCCTCTGGAGGGCCAAGAACAGGGCAGAGGGGCCGAGGCCTTCCCCTGAGAAGAACCTCAGAAGAGCCCTGCTAGATTAGACCAGTGGTCCATCTAGTCCAGCCTCCTGTCTCACACAGGAGCCAACCAGTTCCTCTGGAGGGCCAAGAACAGGGCAGAGGGGCCGAGGCCTTCCCCTGAGAAGAACCTCAGAAGAGCCCTGCTAGATTAGACCAGTGGTCCATCTAGTCCAGCCTCCTGTCTCACACAGGAGCCAACCAGTTCCTCTGGAGGGCCAAGAACAGGGCAGAGGGGCCGAGGCCTTCCCCTGAGAAGAACCTCAGAAGAGCCCTGCTAGATTAGACCAGTGGTCCATCTAGTCCAGCCTCCTGTCTCACACAGGAGCCAACCAGTTCCTCTGGAGGGCCAAGAACAGGGCAGAGGGGCCGAGGCCTTCCCCTGAGAAGAACCTCAGAAGAGCCCTGCTAGATTAGACCAGTGGTCCATCTAGTCCAGCCTCCTGTCTCACACAGGAGCCAACCAGTTCCTCTGGAGGGCCAAGAACAGGGCAGAGGGGCCGAGGCCTTCCCCTGAGAAGAACCTCAGAAGAGCCCTGCTAGATTAGACCAGTGGTCCATCTAGTCCAGCCTCCTGTCTCACACAGGAGCCAACCAGTTCCTCTGGAGGGCCAAGAACAGGGCAGAGGGGCCGAGGCCTTCCCCTGAGAAGAACCTCAGAAGAGCCCTGCTAGATTAGACCAGTGGTCCATCTAGTCCAGCCTCCTGTCTCACACAGGAGCCAACCAGTTCCTCTGGAGGGCCAAGAACAGGGCAGAGGGGCCGAGGCCTTCCCCTGAGAAGAACCTCAGAAGAGCCCTGCTAGATTAGACCAGTGGTCCATCTAGTCCAGCCTCCTGTCTCACACAGGAGCCAACCAGTTCCTCTGGAGGGCCAAGAACAGGGCAGAGGGGCCGAGGCCTTCCCCTGAGAAGAACCTCAGAAGAGCCCTGCTAGATTAGACCAGTGGTCCATCTAGTCCAGCCTCCTGTCTCACACAGGAGCCAACCAGTTCCTCTGGAGGGCCAAGAACAGGGCAGAGGGGCCGAGGCCTTCCCCTGAGAAGAACCTCAGAAGAGCCCTGCTAGATTAGACCAGTGGTCCATCTAGTCCAGCCTCCTGTCTCACACAGGAGCCAACCAGTTCCTCTGGAGGGCCAAGAACAGGGCAGAGGGGCCGAGGCCTTCCCCTGAGAAGAACCTCAGAAGAGCCCTGCTAGATTAGACCAGTGGTCCATCTAGTCCAGCCTCCTGTCTCACACAGGAGCCAACCAGTTCCTCTGGAGGGCCAAGAACAGGGCAGAGGGGCCGAGGCCTTCCCCTGAGAAGAACCTCAGAAGAGCCCTGCTAGATTAGACCAGTGGTCCATCTAGTCCAGCCTCCTGTCTCACACAGGAGCCAACCAGTTCCTCTGGAGGGCCAAGAACAGGGCAGAGGGGCCGAGGCCTTCCCCTGAGAAGAACCTCAGAAGAGCCCTGCTAGATTAGACCAGTGGTCCATCTAGTCCAGCCTCCTGTCTCACACAGGAGCCAACCAGTTCCTCTGGAGGGCCAAGAACAGGGCAGAGGGGCCGAGGCCTTCCCCTGAGAAGAACCTCAGAAGAGCCCTGCTAGATTAGACCAGTGGTCCATCTAGTCCAGCCTCCTGTCTCACACAGGAGCCAACCAGTTCCTCTGGAGGGCCAAGAACAGGGCAGAGGGGCCGAGGCCTTCCCCTGAGAAGAACCTCAGAAGAGCCCTGCTAGATTAGACCAGTGGTCCATCTAGTCCAGCCTCCTGTCTCACACAGGAGCCAACCAGTTCCTCTGGAGGGCCAAGAACAGGGCAGAGGGGCCGAGGCCTTCCCCTGAGAAGAACCTCAGAAGAGCCCTGCTAGATTAGACCAGTGGTCCATCTAGTCCAGCCTCCTGTCTCACACAGGAGCCAACCAGTTCCTCTGGAGGGCCAAGAACAGGGCAGAGGGGCCGAGGCCTTCCCCTGAGAAGAACCTCAGAAGAGCCCTGCTAGATTAGACCAGTGGTCCATCTAGTCCAGCCTCCTGTCTCACACAGGAGCCAACCAGTTCCTCTGGAGGGCCAAGAACAGGGCAGAGGGGCCGAGGCCTTCCCCTGAGAAGAACCTCAGAAGAGCCCTGCTAGATTAGACCAGTGGTCCATCTAGTCCAGCCTCCTGTCTCACACAGGAGCCAACCAGTTCCTCTGGAGGGCCAAGAACAGGGCAGAGGGGCCGAGGCCTTCCCCTGAGAAGAACCTCAGAAGAGCCCTGCTAGATTAGACCAGTGGTCCATCTAGTCCAGCCTCCTGTCTCACACAGGAGCCAACCAGTTCCTCTGGAGGGCCAAGAACAGGGCAGAGGGGCCGAGGCCTTCCCCTGAGAAGAACCTCAGAAGAGCCCTGCTAGATTAGACCAGTGGTCCATCTAGTCCAGCCTCCTGTCTCACACAGGAGCCAACCAGTTCCTCTGGAGGGCCAAGAACAGGGCAGAGGGGCCGAGGCCTTCCCCTGAGAAGAACCTCAGAAGAGCCCTGCTAGATTAGACCAGTGGTCCATCTAGTCCAGCCTCCTGTCTCACACAGGAGCCAACCAGTTCCTCTGGAGGGCCAAGAACAGGGCAGAGGGGCCGAGGCCTTCCCCTGAGAAGAACCTCAGAAGAGCCCTGCTAGATTAGACCAGTGGTCCATCTAGTCCAGCCTCCTGTCTCACACAGGAGCCAACCAGTTCCTCTGGAGGGCCAAGAACAGGGCAGAGGGGCCGAGGCCTTCCCCTGAGAAGAACCTCAGAAGAGCCCTGCTGGGTCAGACCAGTGATGGTCCATCTCGTCCAGCATCCTGTCTTTCCAATAGCTTAATTAATGCCTTATCTCAGCTTCAGGGCATGGGAAATGATCAAAGATAAGAATGCCCCCAAGCACGGGCAGAGGGCCTTTCCACAGTCAGTCTTCACATGCATTCTGGCTTCGGACGAAGGGCCTTCAAGTGAGGAAAAACACGGCTTCCGTGCAAAATTGACCCCTCAACCCCTCTTGCTGGGAAAACCCCCTGTCCGGCGCCTGTACCTACCCAGGGTCGAGAGAGCCACTTGGGCGTTGCCCTGGAAGAACTTGGCCACGGCTTCCTCTATCTGCAGCCCGGTCATCTTGTGGTACAAGCTGAACACTGTGAGAGAAAGGGAGCATTCAGTTTGCATTCCCCAGACTTCTGGCAGTCGGGGAATTTACACCGGAGCTATCCTTTTGCACAAGCTCCTGAAAAGGCTAACTTTGAGGGAGACTGAATGTTAAAAGGAGGCCAATTTTCATAGTCGAATGCTGCAAAAAGAAAGCCTGCCCTGCTACATGGCTTGGGGCCCGATCTAGCCAGACTAAAGCCAAAGAGCACAATTCCTTCCCAAGGGAAGCACCCCTTTTGCCTTGCAGAGATGAAGCATATTCATAGAATCATAGAATGTTAGAGTTGGAAGGGACCTTGCGGGTCATCTAGTCCAACCCCCTGCACTCTGCAGGAGCACAGCCGAAAGATAGGCCTACAACATACCCGAAAGATGGCCGTCCAGCCTCTGCTTGAAAACGTCCAGCGAAGGTGCATCCACCACCTCCCGAGGCAGTCTGTTCCACTGCTCAACCACTCTTACAGTGGGGAAGTTCCTCCTGATATTTAGCCGGTATCGACTCCCTTGTAATTTCCACCCATTAGATCTAGTCTTGCAATCGGGAGCAAGAGAGAATAGATCCACTCCATCTTCTACATGTAAAAGGTAAAGGTTCCCTTGCTCGAAAGCCAGTCGAGTCCGACTCTAGGGTTGCGGTGCTCATCTCTGTTTCCAAGCCGAAGAGCCAGCGCTGTCCGAAGACGTTTCCGTGGTCATGTGGCCGGCATGACTAAACACCAAGGCGCACAGAACGCTGTTCCCTTCCCACCGAAGTGGTACCTATTTATCTACTTGCAATTTCTGGCTTTCGAACTGCTAGGTTGGCAGGAGCTGGAACTAGAGACGGGAGCTCCCTTCGTCATGCGGCAACTCGGGTCTCGAACTGTTGAACTACCGACCTTCCACAGCCTGCAGTTCAGTGTCTTAATCACTTGAGCCACCGCAGCTCCTCTTCTACATGACGGCCCTTCAAATACTTGAAGACTGCAACCATGTCCCCTCTAAGCCTTCTCTTTCCCCAGGCTAAACAGACCCAACTCTTTCATTCTCCTGTAGCCTTTTGATCACAGCTTCTAGGTTATCTCAGGACACAGTTCAGGATGGCTACAGCGTATTAGTCTGTCTGTAGCAGTAGAAAAGAGCCAGAGTCCAGGAGCACCTTGAAGACTAACCAAATTTGTGGCAGGGGAGGAGCTTTTGTGAGTCACGGCGCACGTCTTCAGAGACAGCTTGGATGTGAGTCCACCTGTCCTTCTATCTTGGAGAGCGGGGTGGTTTCAGATGCCGAATGACAATAGCAAGGGAAGGACAACAGTATTCGGCATCTGAAATCACGCCGCTTTCCAAGATAGGAGGACGGATGGACCCGCATTCTAGCTGCATCTGAAGAAGTGAGCCTTGACTCACAAAAGCCCCCCCCATGCCACAAACGTGGTTAGTCTTTAAGGTGGTACTAGTCTCTTGCTGTTTTCTCCTCCTGACGCAGAGACGGCTGCTCCTAGAGACTTAGTCAAAGTGCTAGATAGCTGGGCCATCACCGACAATGCTCCCTCTAAGCTGTGGAGTCTTGTGAGCAAAAATGCTACTTTGTGAGCTACTGGCATTAAAGTCGTGAGCGAGCGGTTTGGCTACACCGGCTGGTGACCCCGGGCCCTAAGGAGGCCAAGCTTGTGGCAACAAGGGCCAGGTCCTTTTCAGTGGCAGCTCCTACCTGGTGGAATGTGCTCCCGGAGGAGATCAGGGCCCTGCGGGACCTTATGCAGTTCCGCAGGGCCTGCAAGCAATGTTCCCTCTAAGCTGTGGAGTCTTGTGAGCAAAAATTCTACCTTGTGAGCTGCTGGCATTAAAGCTGTGAGCGAGCCATTTGGCTACTGCATAAATTAGTTTGTTCTGGAGCCATCCTTCCTGAGCGAAGACAAAAATGTGTGATCCGGAGGCTAAAGAATTGTGAGCTGGCTCACACTAACTCAGCTTAGAGGGAACACTGCCTGCAAGATGGAGCTCTTCCGCCAGGCTTACGAGTAGGAGCCGCCACGGCCACTTCCACCACCGCTCCTTTATAGAGAGAGACCGCCGGAGGGCTTGGCGACATCATTCCATGACCCTAGCCTTCCCCTCTGCTACGCAAGATGTTGGGAGTGTTATATGTGCCTCCGTCGAAACTGATTTTTAATTGTTTTAACTTGTGTATACTGTATGCACTCTGTGCCCTCTGTGAGCCGCCCTGAGCCCGTTTGCAGGGAGGGCGGGGTATAAATGCAATAAAATAAATAAATAAATAAAATAACTACTGCATAAATTAGTTTGCTCTGGAGCCCTCCTTCCTGAGCTAAGACAAAAAATGTGTGAGCCGGAAGCTAAAAAATGTTGAGCTAGGTCACAGTAACTCAGCTTAGAGGGAACACTGGTCACCAGCAGACCCGATGCAATCCACACCAGAGCTTTGTACTGTTGGAAAACTGGTCAAAATAGTTAGATATCCAGAGGTTGCAATGGGTCTTCGTTCACTGGAGAGGAGGCATTTTCTTTCTGTGTAAAAATCTTTATTTCTAATGGGAAGGGTACACAGGAAAATCTAATAAACAGCAAACACACTTAAGACTACATGCTTGCAACAACAGACACACACAGATAGTAATGGAGATTATTCTTTTCTTCTTGACCCCTAGAAGGAAATCACTTGAATGCATCAACCAATGATTGTTGCAGGGCTCTTTTTGTAGAAAAAGCCCAGCAGGAACTCATTAGCATAATAGGCCACACCCAACAGCAGGAACTCATTAGCACATTGGGCCACACCCCTGACAGCACAGCTCATTAGCATATTAGGCCGCACCCCCATGTTACCAGAAGTGTGGTCATCTAGCCACACCCACCTTTTGCTTCTTATTCTGTTTACCCTGTTTGTGGTCAAAACCCAGGGCCTTTTTTTGTAGCAGGAACTCCTTTGCGTGTTAGGCCACACACCCCTAACGTAGCCAATCCTAATGAGTTCCTGCTGTTGGGTGTGGCCTATTATGCTAATGAGTTCCTGCTGGGCGTGGCCAACTTGGGAGCAAGCCGGAACTCCGTTCCTGTGCGTTCCTGCCCAGAAATAGCCCTGATGCTGCCTCTTGAATATATGATGTCGGGTGTGAGATGTTTTGTGCCAGTGGGGTGGCCAACCTCCTGGCGGGGCCTGGTGATCCCCCAAAATTACGACTGATCTCCCAACTACAGAGGTCAGTTCCCCTGGGGGGAAACGGCTGCTTTGGAGGGTGAACTCCTCTCCTCGGGGCAACCTCCAAATCTCCAGGAATTTATGAACCTGTGTACTGGAATAGCTATGTACAGTCCACCCACCCACCCACAGTGCTTTCCTGTGCCAAAATACTCTAGTCTAGGTAAAGCTAAAGTTTCCCTTGCTTGAGAGCTAATCGAATTTGACTCTAGGGATGCGGTGCTCATCTCAGTTTCCAAGCCGAAGAGCCAGCGCTGTCCGAAGACGCTTCCGTGGTCATGTGGCCGGCATGACTAGACGCCGAGGTGCACGGAACGCTGTTCCCTTCCCACCGAAGCGGCACCTATTTATCTACTTGCAATGTCTTGCTTTCGAACTGCTACTCTACGCCCATTGATACCCACGGACTAGGGGTGCCAGGTCTCCCCCCGGCCACCCGCAGGGGATGGGGAGGCAGGGTTGCCAGCTCCAGGTTGGGAAACTCCTGGAGATTTGGGGGTGGAGCCCGGGGAGGACAGGGACCTCAGTGGGGCACAATGCCACAGGGTCCACTCTCCGAGGCACCCCTTGTCTCCAGGGGAACTGATCTCTCTAGTCTGGAGATGAGCTGTAACTCTAGGAGATCCCCGGGTCCCATGTGTTGGAAATGTGTAACCTGCAAGGTCCAGATTCCAGTCATTATAGGGTTAATCTGTTTTACCTTCTGTACTGTTGTTTAGACTGACCTGGAAGGGAAACTTGGCTCAGAGCCACTGGGAAGATGGCCCGGGAAAATCTGAGTCTGTTTACTAGCAATCGTTGGTTCCTGTGTTCAGGTGACTTCCTTCTAGGGGTCAAGAAGAAGAAGAAACTCCATTGTTGTGTGACCATGAGGAATTTCACATTACCCAGTTTCACCCAGTTTCAAGTCGGTAATGATTCGTTTTAAAGTGAACCGGTACAGGGCTGCCATTTCACACAGGGCTTTCCCCTTCCGGTAAAGAGCTGGATCTGAAGCGGTTTGCCATTTCAGACTGCACCACTTTTTCCCGCTTTTCCCCCGCCGTTTTTCGCCCGTGCAGGCGATCTCCGGCTTTTTTTTTTTGATCGCCCGCGCGGGTGGAAAACGGCTGGGAAAAAAGCGCATCAGAACCGGGAGAGGGAACTGAAGACTACTTGGAAGCAGTTGACAGGTAAAACGCTTCAGTCCCATTTCCTAAACGGGACAGAAGCGTTTGTGTATGAAATGGCAAATATATTCCGGAAGGGAACCGGTTCTCAAATGGGTTCTGTCTGAAATGACAGACCAGAAACCGTTTGGGAACCGTTCCTCCTCCGGAATATATCGCCTGTCTGAAATTCCTCCATGTGTCTGTAGCTGTAAGGATGTAAAGATGTAGCTCTAGATATCGCTTTTGTTTTGTGGCTTCCCATGTGAACCCTTCCCTTAGAAATAAAGATTGTTTTTCATAAAAAAAAAATGTCTCCTCTCCTCTGAAGCAAAGATCCATTGCAAACTCTGAGTATTTAAGTATTGTTGCCTATTTTTCCCCAACACCATGGGCTTAGCCTGGAGTCATTCAATACAAGATGGCACAGTGAATTCCCCACATTCCCGAAATTACAGGTGAATCACGGTCTTGCCTCGGTTTAGATGTTCGGGGCTGCGCTGGGTGAGGATCCTGATCCACTTCTTCTCATCCGTCCCGTCCACGTAGCCACTGCCCGCGTTCACCAGAGCCTGGAAGGAGACATCGCCAACGGCAAGCAGATTTGGTGGGGTATTTCGACATGCTGTTCTACTCTCAAACAAGGAGGGCACCCCGTCCTACAAACGTGGTTCAAGGTTCAGCCCCAGGACCTATTTTTAGTGCCTGAGCTAAGCCTCTAAACACCAGGAATAGGAAGGGAAGGAGGAGGAAGAGAAAAAGAAGGAAGAAGAGGAGGAGGAGATTGGATTTATACCCCGCCCTTCACTACCCGCAGGGGTCTCAGAGGGGCTTACAGTCTCCTTTCCCTTCCCCTCCCCACAACAGAAACCCTGGGAGGTCGGTGGGGCTGAGAGAGCTCTTTTGAGATCTGCTTGTGAGAGAACAGCTCTGAGAGAACTTGTGACTGACCCAAGGTCACACCAGCAGCTGCATGTGGAGGAGTGGGGAATCAAACCCGGTTCTCCCAGATTAGAGTCCTCGCTCCTTACCACTACGCCAAACTGGCTCTCAAACATGAGGAAGGATATCCTCAAGGCATGTAAAGGTAAAGGTAAGGGTTTCCCTTGCTCGAAAGCCAGTCGAAAGCGGTGCTCATCTCCGTTTCCAAGCCAAAGAGCCAGCGCTGTTCAAAGACATCTCCATGGTCATGTGGCCAGCATGACTAAACGTTGAGGTGCACGGAACACTTTTACCTTCCCACCAAAGCGGTACTTATTTATATACTTGCAATTTCTTGCTTTCGAACTGCTAGGTCGGCAGGAGCTGGGGCCAGAGACGGGAGCTCACTCCGTCATGCGGCACACTCGGGTCTCGAACTGCTGAACTACAGACCTTCCGGTCTTCAGCTCAGCATCTGAACCTCTGAGCCACCACAGCTCCTTCTAGGCATGTACAAAGTACTTTTTCCTTTTGGGTTAGACGGGACAGAAATCCAAATCAGTCCAATCGCGGGAGTCACCAGAGCTTGCCCCCACATTTAGGGGGCTGAACCGTGTAAGCCCCCACACCTCTCATTTCTACGGAACTACTTTAGCCTCAGTTACCTTGCATTTGGCCACCCAATGAGAAGGGAGCACTCACTGGAGAAGACCCTGATGCTGGGAAAGATTGAAGGTCAAAGAAGACGGGGACGGCAAAGGATGAGATGGTTGGACAGTGTCATTGACGCAACGAACATGAAGTTGAGCAAACTTCAGAGGACGGCGGAAGACAGGAGGGCCTGGCGGGAGCTGGTCCATGGGGTCACGAAGAGTCGGACTCGACTGTGCGACTGAACAACAACACCTTGCAGGGAATTCACTGTGAGCCCCAGAAGGCGAAGCACACACAAAAAAGTCTCCTCTAAGAGAAGCGTCTCAAGGGTCCCGGTCCCTGAGCCCCAGAACTTACGAAGTACCTCCGATAATGTACCAAGGGCCTTCCTAATGCTTACCCCTCATCAAGATGGGTAGCCATGTCAGTCTGTCTGTAGCAGTAGAAAAGAACAAGAGGAAGGGAGGGGAAGGGAAGGGAAGGGAAGGGAAGGGAAGGGAAGGGAAGGGAAGGGAAGGGAAGGGAAGGGAAGGGAAGGGAAGAAGAGTTTGAATTTATACCCTGCCCTTCAGTCGGGGTCTTACAGTCTCCTCTCCCTCTCCCCACAACAGACACCCTGTGAGGTTGGCAGGGCTGAGAGAGCTCTTTGGAGGACTGCTCTTGAGAGAACAGCTCTGAAAGAACTTATGACTGACCCAAAGTCACACCAGCAGCTTCACGTGGAGGCGTGGGGAATCAAACCCGGTTCTCCCAGATTAGAGAACACACTCTTAACCACTGCCCCAAACTGGCTCTGCTTCACCAAACTGAGTCCGGCAGCACCTTACAGACTAACGAACCACGCGGCAGGGTATGAGCCTCAGCTGTACTCCCATTCTCGCTGTATCTGAAGAAGTGAGCAGTAATTCAGGAAAGATCCTCCCCTGCTGCAGACTTTGTTAGTTTTGAAGGTGCTACTGGGCTCTTGCTCTTTTTTACTCCCTCCTTACCTAGACAGAATTATAGGAAGGTATTCCAGGTCAACCGGCGCCACGTCCCAGATGCGAGTAGAGAAGCATAAATTCCTTCTTTCTTATTCATATGCATGGATATACATTCTTGCATCAGTAAAGACATTTGCGTCTGCTTAATATCGTTTCGTCAGCATTCTGTATCAACAAATTCACGGCAGTTGCTTGTCTCGTGCCAAGAATCAATGGACAGATACCCATTTTAATGTAAAAGAGCCAGTTTGGTGTAGTGGTTAAGTGCGTGGACTCTAATCTGGGTGGGAGAACCGGGTTTGATTCCCCCCACTCCTCCACTTGCACCTGGCTGGATGACCTTGGGCAAGGCACAGTTCTGATAAGAGCTGTCCTTGAAAAAAGAGCAGTTTCTGTCAAGAGCTCTCTCAGCCCCGCCTACCTCACAGGGGGTGTCTGTTGTGGGGAGGGGAAGGGAAAGGAGTTTGTAAGCCGCTCTGAGACTCCTTTGGGTAGTGAAGGGCGGGGTATAAATCCAATCTCTTCTTCTCTTCTTCTTCTTCTAAAACATTACATCCTTGCTTTTCTTCCCTAGGTCTCGCAAAATGTGTTAAGTCTGGCCATGACTACACCGTTCCCGTATTCGGGGAACGGATCCGGCACTCTCAGAAAGTGCATCCGCTGCCAGTCACACGGCATTGTGACCATATCAGCAGAGAGCCGGTTTGGTGTAGGGACCAGTGTCAGGTTCGGATCTGAGAGACCTGGGTTCGAAACAGGCCCGTAGCTACCACGGGGCCCACGGGGCCTGACCCCCAAGTGGATTTTATGGGCCCTGCTCCCTGAGTCTCGGCTTTCCCTCCCTCCCGGGCCCCCTCCCCCCAATTGCAGAGTTACAGCATTGCACTATGAGCCGGCATCTCCCTTTTTGAGCTCGTCTGCGGTGAGCTGAGTCTCTTTAGGACCCAGCAGCAAGCGGTGGTTGACCGAGCTGGTCGGATTGTAGCCGCTGCAGCAGTTCGCTCCTCCTGCTGGATTTTCTGCACCAGGCTTCAGAAGAGATCGCCGGCTCAGGGAAGGAGTGAGCGCGGGAGCTTGATCCCCACTCTCCTTTTTTAAAAAAATGTGGCCGCGTTCCTAGACCTCTGAGGAGCAGGGGTCATCTCATAGAAAAAGAGGTGCAGGAGCTCATTAGCATAACTCATTAGCATAACTCGTTTGCATATGCCACAGCCCCTGACATCACCGGAAGTGTGGCAGAAGGCAACACCCACCGCTCAGGCTCCACTGGACCAGGGCTCATTTCCTGCGGGAGCGCACAAGGGCGGAGCTCTGGCAGTAAGGAGCCCAGGGGGCGGGCACAGGCAACAAGCCCTGCCCCCTGCTCCCAGCAGCCCTCAGTCAGGCCAAATGAGCAAGAAGCAGCTAGGTAAGTTGCTGAGCCCCCCCATCCCAGATCTGTCCTCGCAGAGGAGGGAGAGCTTGTACCTGAACAAAACTTGGTCTTAAAGGTGCCACTGGACTGTTTTGGACCGGGGAGCTGGGGGGGGGGCTCTGCAACTTACCTGGCTGCTTCTTGCTCTGACTGAGGGCTGCTGGGAGCAGGGGGTGGGGCTTGCTGCATATGCCTGCCCCCTGGGCTCTTTACTGCTGGAGCTCCGCTCCTGTGCGCTCCTGCAGGAAATGACCCCTGACCACCCCTAGGGTTGACAGCTCTGAGCTGAGAAATACCTGGAGATTTTGGGGGTGGAGCCTGAAGAGGGTAAGGTTTGGGGAGGGGAGGGATGTCAGTGGGTTATAATACCATAGAGTCCACCATCCAAAGTGGCCATTTTTTTCTCCAGGGGAGCTGATCTCTGCCGTCTGGAGATCAGCTGCAACAGCGGGAGATCTCCAGTCTCCACCTGGAGGCTGTAGTTCAACAGAAAACAACCATGATATTATTAGTTGTCCCTGACATTTTGCCAGCAGCTGTGACTGGAATCCTCAGAGGTATAACATAGAAAGAGGGAGTACTCTCTGTGTCAAGGTGAGGAGGAAAACGGTAGGCAGGTAATTATTATGCAATCTACTCAATAATGAAGCTGAGGGAAATTATCCCAAATATCTGATCGACTGGAGCCACCACAGTCGATCAGATATTTGGAATAATTTCCCTCTAGGTCAAAGGAGGACTGTGCTAAGCTACTTTGACCTGTATTGTCCAGTAGAACTTTGAGCACTGACAGTTTGGCTGACAAGGAGACTTCAAATATTTGTATATTTTGTACTGGAATGTATTTTGGAATTTGTAAAGGCATAGTAAAGGTTTCCCTTGCTTGAGAGCTAATCGAATCTGACTCTAGGGATGTGGTGCTCATCTGTTTCCAAGCCGAAGAGCCAGCACTGTCCGAAGACGTTTCCGTGGTCATGTGGCCGGCATGACTAAATGCCAAGGTGCACGGAATGCTGTGACCTCTCCACCGAAGTGGTACCTATTTATCTACTTGCAATTTCTTGCTTTCGAACTGCTAGGTTGGCAGGAGCCGGGGCCAGAGACGGGAGCTCACTCCGTCACGCGGCACTCGGGTCTCGAACTGCCGAACTACCGACCTTCCGGTCTGCAGCTCGGCGTCTTAACCTCCAAAATATAAATGCTTGATAATAATTACTGACTAGATTGCATAATAATATCACGGTTGCTTTTTGTTTAACGACAACCTATCCCGTGACCTCACGTTTGTATAATAACCACCTAGACGCCGGCAACCCTCCCCACCTCATACCCCGCCGTCCTCAAACTCCACCCCCACAAATCTCCAGGTATTTCCCAGCCTGGAGTTGGCAACCCTGCTCGGGAGAAAGGCGGGGACCAAAGAAAGTAGATGAAAATAGCTAGAGAGACTGAGACGTGACCGCGATGGCCAGCAACTGGATTGCCCAGGAGGTGGAAGCGTGCTGGCAGCCAGCGATCCGCGGAAGCGAATCAGGACTGGCCGGGCCAGGATACGACTCTCTCCTTCCCGCTTCCGCCGTCCCTGCCGTGAACCTCTCTCACCTTGGCATCTTGCTCGATCAAGACGTAGTCGATGACCCCAGAGTACTTCTCTCGGCTGGTCTGCGGGAGACATAAAGACAGTAGACAAGGATAAACAGAGAACCTGGGACTCCAACAATGAAAAGGCAAGAGGGGTCATAATCAAGGGCTTAACTGACAGAAATGTGTTAAGAGTAATTCGGATGCCACCAGCCAAAGCTGTGTGGTGTGAGCTGCATGTAAGTTCCTTATTAAAGAGCCAGCTTTATCTACAAAAGAAACTTTTCAGTACGAAGATGAAAGAGAGGGGTAATTTACGTCATCATCTGGATGAGATGCTGGGATTGGCTGAGCAATTGAGGAGTTCAGGAAAGGAGATTGTTAACCAGGCAGTCCCCACTTCCGCTCTGATCGTCCCACTGGGAGAGCTCAGTGGAATTCCGCTCACCGTCACAGCCACAGGCCCTTTTCGCACCCGTATTTTGCCTCGGGTTCTGGGCGCATCCTATTCTTCCGTCCTGCATTCCCTCCGGCTTTGACTTCCAGTTTGTGTTAAAGGCTTTCGCTTGTTTGGTGTCGTGGTTAGGAGTGCGGACTCTAATCTGGGAGAACCGGGTTCGATTCCCCCACTCCTTCACATGGCAGCCGCTGGTGTGACCTGGGGCCAGTCACAAGTTCTCTCAGAGCTGTTCTCTCAAGGGTGGCTCTCAAGTGAGCTCTCTCATAAGAACATAAGAGGAGCCAATGTTGGATCAGGCCAATGGCCCATCTAGTCCAACACTCTGTTACACAGTGGCCAGAAATACCAGGTGCCATCAGGAGGTCCAGCAGTGGGGCCAGGACACTAGCAGCCCTCCCACTCTCAGCCCCGCCTACCTCACAGGGTGTCTGTTGTGGGGAGGAGAAGGGAAAGGAGATTGTCAGCCAGTTTGGTGTAGTGGTTAAGTGTGCAGACTCTAACCTGGGAGAACCGGGTTTGATTCCCCGCTCCTCCACTTGCACCTGGGTGGATGACCTTGGGCAAGCCGTAGTTCTGATAAGAGCTGTCCGTGAAAAAGAGTAGTTTCTGTCAAGAGCTCTCTGAGCCCCGCCTGCCTCACCGGGTGTCTGTTGTGGGGAGGGGAAGGGAAAGGAGTTTGTAAGCCACTCTGAGACTCCTTCGGGTAGTGAAGGGTGGGGTATAAATCCAATCTCTTCTTTGTTTCTGCATTCGTTTTACAGGAATCTGCCTTCGGACTGCTTCCAGCACACTGTTGCCCCGCAGCTACCTAAACTCCCTGTTCTTTTTTTTCTTTTTTTAAAATATTTTTATTGATTTTCAGTATATAACAAAAATGATATTACATATTTCCATTTTACAATACTTTTGGAGCTTTTTGTCCATATATTTCTAACCAGCTATCTAGTTTTTGCCATCTTTTCTTAAACACACTATCCATTTTTCCCACTAAAAATATATTTGTCTTATCCATTTCTTTTATATCTAAGATATTTTTAATTAATTCTTCTCTGCTTGGAATTTTATCAGATTTTCAACATTTTGCTATAGGAATTCTAGCACTTGTGAGGATGTATAATATCAAACGTGCATCATTGTGGTTTATATTATCCGGTAGGATATTTAACAGGTATATTTCCGGAGCCAGGTTTAAATCTATATCTACTATTTCTAGGATAAGTTGTTTTATAGTTTTCCAAAATTTTACGACTTTTTCGCATCTCCACCAAATGTGGTAGAAAGAGCCAACATTTCTTTCGCATCTCCAACAGTTCCCTGATACGGTCTTATTGCATTTTAGAGATTTCTCTGGAGTCCAGTGCCACCTATGAAACATTTTAAAAATATTTTCTTTGTATGATGTGGCTGTTAGCAGTTTCATTGAGTTCCACATTTTTGACCATTTCTCTATGCTTATGTTACTTACTATATCTGTTTCCCATACCTTCATGCATGGTTTTATTTTTTTCTGTTTGGGACTCGCCATCTAATAAGAAGTTGTATATTTTTTGAATCAGTTTATCTGCAGAGGACAACCAAATTTTATCTAAGTTTGTGTTTGTTTTCATGAAGCCTCTCGAAACCTCTTGTTTTGTCTTTTGCAAATCTGGATTTTAACTGTAATTTCTCCCAATTTGAGAGATTTATATTCATTGCTTGCAACGTTCCATAATCTTTCAGTTCGTTTTCTTTTGTGAGTACTTTGTCATAGGTGGCAATTTTCTCTTCCGTCATTAGGTTTGGCATTATGAAAGCTTCCAGAGGAGAAATCCATCTCGGTATTTTATCATAGAATTTTTCCTTCACCATTCTCCATACTTTTATCAAAGTGTCTCTCAAAATGTGGCTTTGGAAATGTTTCTGCTTTTTCTCTTCGTCATACCACACATAGGCATGCCAGCCCATGTGTAGGTCATGACCTTCCAGTTTTAAGGTTCTTCTATCTTCTAACAAAATCCAATCCCTAATCCAACCCATTGCTGCCGCTCTATAGTATAATTTCCACTCTGGTAGTCCCAGGCCGCCTCTTTCTTTTTTGTCATATAGTAATTTTAATCTTATGCGCGCTCTCTTTGCTTGCCAAATGAAACTTCTTGTGATTTTCTCCAGTTCATCACATATTTTATAATTTTTTAAGATCGGGATTGTTTGCGCAAGGAACAAAAATCTAGGTAGGACGTTCATTTTTATAGTGGCCGTTCTCCCCATCAGTGAGATGTGGAGATCCTGCCATCTTTTCAAATCTTTCTTGATTTCTTCTATTAAGGGTTTGTAATTATTCTCATATAGTTGTGCATTGTTCTTTGTCAGATTTATACCTAGATATTTAACTTTGTTTGTTATCTCCATCTTGGTACTTCTTTGTAATTTATCTATTTCTTCTTTAGAGCAGTTTTTTGTTAGAATTTTGGTTTTCCGCAAATTTATTTTTAGTCCCGCCAGGCTTCCATATTCTTGGATTTGCTTCATTAGATGTCCTAAACTCCCTGTTCTCACCCACTTTCAAATCGCCTATCTTTTCTAAAGTAGAATTCTTTCTGCGGTTATTTAAGTGCTCCCCGTTTCCGCCTCTCCCTCTTTAGGGTGACGCTCCCTCCCTGTTCGGTTTTCTTTCCCTCCTTCTCCAAAGACAAAAAGGGAGGGGTCCCCCCACTCAGGCAAACTTTTAAAAAGCAAGAGAGAGCATGAGAAGAAGTCAGTAATGATAAAGGACAGGGGGGATTCCCTGCTCCCAAATATGTCAGTCTTGCATGTGTGGGCTTGGATTTCCCCATCCCTTCCCCCCACCCCCCTTTGTAGGGACAGTGAATCTCTGTGAGGCATGCCCGGAATTCACTGCTCCCGCAGGGAGATTGGCAACTATGTGCAAAGAGCTGGGAAACATCTGCGAAGAGCTGCTGACCTCACCGTGTCACAGGGAGGTGAAGATAAGAGACTGAGCTGTCTGCACAACACATTCCTGTTCACAGTAGTAGTGCTTGTAACTTTCCATATGCATGGGGGGGAGAACGGGGGAAGAGATTTCTTAATAAAAAGGCTGTGAAGTGCGAACACTTTAGACAGATTTCTGCAGAGCTGTTTGTGTCGTGTCGTTCTTTGAACCCTTCAACCTTCACCCCTTTTTTTGCAGAATCCCTGAGGCAGGGAGGGAGGGAGGGAAGGAGGGAAGGAGGGAAGGAGGGAAGGAGGGAAGGAGGGAAGGAGGGAAGGAGGGAAGGAGGGAAGGAGGGAAGGAGGGAAGGAGGGAAGGAGGGAGAGAGGGATTGGTAGCCAGTTAGCTCAAAAAATGTGAGTTTTGCTTGTAGATGCAGAATGTGTACAGAACACAAAAATAAACAAACCAGAGGGGGGAAATCCAGTGGAGAGATAATGCGTGCGACCGCAAAGTCAACCGTTAAGGCTTAACACCTCGGGCTCTCCAGACCATAAGAACAATGGAAGCCCAGGTAGTAGCCGCTGCCAAGGCAGCCTTTTACCATCTTCGGCTGATTAGGCAGTCGGTTCCCTTCCTCGAACGCAATGATCTGGCTGCAGCGATCCATGCTATGGTCACCTCGAGGTTGGACTACTGCAATGCTCTCTACATGGGGCTGCCCTTGGTGCAACTCCGGAAACTGCAGCTGGTGCAGAATGCGGCGGCCAGGCTGCTGATGGGCCTCCCCAGGTGGGAGCACATCCAGCCTGTGCTTAAGACTCTGCACTGGCTCCCAATACCATTCCAGATTCGTTTCAAGGTGCTGGTTTTGACCTTTAAAGCCCTTTATGGTCAGGGACCGGCCTACCTGGGGGACCGCCTTTCCCCGTATGTTCCCCAGAGAGCACTGCGATCAGGATCCCAAAACCGCCTGGACCTCCCTAGCCCAAAGGAAGTCAGGTTGATGGTAACCAGGACGAGGGCTTTTTCATTTGCAGCTCCGTCCTACTGGAACGAGCTTCCTGCCGAGATCGGGGCCCTGCGGGACTTGTCACAGTTCCGCAGGGCCGTGAAAACAGAACTTTTTAGGCAGGCGTTCTGCTAGGAGCGACGACGTCCTACCAGCAGCGCCCTGTGTGAATTCCGATCCAACACGACCTGGCACCGCTGAATGTGTCCCTAAACTGCACTTTATTTTTATCGCCACCGAATGCATGTTTTATATTGACTTGTCTATGTTTTTAAATGATGTATTTTATTCTATTACTGTAAAATGTATACTGCTTATCGGTTTTTGGAAGCTGCCCTGAGCCCGCCTGGCGGGGAGGGCGGGGTAAAAGTGAAATAAACAAATAAGAGAAGCCAATGAGGCCAATGGCCCACCCATTCCAACACTCTGTCACACAGTGGCCAAAAAATACCAGGTGCCACCAGGAGGTCCAGCAGTAAGGCCAAGACACTAGGAGCCCTCCCACTGTTGCCACCCCCCCAAGCACCAAGAATACAGAACATCCCGTGCCCCAGACCGAGAGCCCCTATCTATACCTTGTGGCTAATAGCCACTGATGGACCTCTGCTCCATATGCTTATCTAATTCCCTCTTGAAGCCATCCATGCTTGTAGCCGCCGCCACCTCCTGTGGTGGTAAATTCCAAGTGTTCATCACTCTTTGGGTGAAGAAGTACTTCCTTTTACCTGTTCTAACCCGACCGCTCAGCAATTTCATGGAGTGCTCACGGGTTCTTGTATTGTGAGAAAGGGAGAAAAGTACCTCTTTCTCTACCTGCTCTTTCCCATGCATAATCCTATAAACCTCGATCATGTCACCCCTCGGTCGTCGTTTCTCCAAGCTAAAGAGCCCCAAGCGCCTTAACCTCTCTTCATAGGGAAAGTGTTCCAACCCTTTTATCGTTCGAGTTGCCCTTTTCTGCACTTTTCCCAAAGCGATAATATCCTTTTTAAGGTGTGGTGACCAGAACTGCACACAGTATTCCAAATGAGGTCGCACCATTGATTTATATAGGGGCATTATTATGTTGGCTGATCTGTTTTCAATACCCTTCCTAATAATCCCCAGCATAGCGTTGGCCTTTTTTTATTGCAGTCACACACTGTCTCGACATTTTCAGTGAGTTATCTACTACAACTCCAAGATCTTTCTCTTGTCCAGTCTCTGCCAGTTCAGACCCCATCAATGTGTATTTACATTTAGGATTTTTGGCTCCAATGTGCATTATTACCTTGATCAGTGCAAGAAGGAGGTCTTTAAAACTGCTGCTGGGTCCAGACGCAACATCAGCCTCTAAGTCCGATTTGAAATCTAGACGTGATACAGGAAGCGAGGTGGGGGGGGGGGGAGAAATCGAGATTAGAAAGAAAGGATGACACTTGGAGCGTCACAGAATCGGCTTGCAGAAGGGGGCTGTCTGGAACTGAGCCGCAGTTGCTACCTGAGACACGGAGCCCAGATGGAACCAGCAGTTGGCAACTCGAGCAGGGCACAGGGTTGCCAGCTCCAAGTTGAGACCTTCCTAAAGATTTGGGGATGGATCCTGGGGTGGGGTTCGGGAACGACCTCAGCGGGGTATAATGAAGAATCATAAGAACATCAGAAGAGCCCTGATGGATGAGACCAATGGTCCATCTAGTCCAGCATCCCGCTGCACACAGTGGCCAACCAGTTTCCCTAGAAAGCCAACAACAGGCCACAGGGGCTAAGGCCTTCATAAGAACACAAGCCCTGCTAGATCAGACCAGTGATGGTCCATCTAGTCCAGCAACCCGTCTCACACAGTAGCCAAACAGTTCCTCTGGAAGGCCAGCAACAGGGCAGGGAGGCCGAGGCCTTCCCCGGAGAAGAAACTCAGAAGAGCCCTGATGGATGAGACCAATGGTCCATCTAGTCCAGCATCCTGTCTCACACAGGGGCCTCAACCAGTTCCTCTGGAGGGCCAACAACAGGGCAGAGAGGCCAAGGTCTTCCCCTCAGAAGAGCCCTGCTAGATCACACCAGTGGTCCATCTAGTCCAGCATACCGTCTCACACAGTGGCCAACCAGTTCCTCTGGAGGGCCAGCCAACAGGGCAGAGAGGCCGAGGCCTTCATAAGAACATCAGAAGAGCCCTGCTGGGTCAGACCAGTGGTCCATCCAGTCCAGCATCCTGTCTCACACAGTAGCCAACCAGTTCCTCTGGAAGGCCAACAACAGGGCAGAGAGGCCAAGGCCTTCATAAGAACACTAGAAGAGCCCTGCTGGATCAGACTAGTGAGGGTCCATCTAGTCCAGCCTCCTGTCTCACACAGCAGCCAACCAGTTCCTCTGGAGAGCCAACAGTAGGGCAGACAGACTGAGGCCTTCCAGAGAAAAGAACATAAGAAAAACCTTGCTGTAGAAGGCCAGTGGTCCATCTAGTCCAGCCTCATGTCTCACACAGTGGCCAACCAGTTCCTCTGGAGGGCCAGCAATAGGGCTTAGAGGCCAGGCCTTCCCCTCATGTTGGCTCCTGGCTCTGGGATTCACAGACTGACTGTAAAGAAATTCGTTTTTCCTTTGGAGGTCTGAAATGAGCAAAACCTGCACTCTCTGTTTTAAAAGTTTTTCGAGTGTTTATTATTGGATTCTTTGCATGTTCTTGTTTGCTTTGTTATGAAAAATGAATAAAGAGAATTTTTTTTTTAAAAAAAAAGTTTTTTTCCCCTCTGGGCAGAGAACAGGTAAAGAGGAGGAACTCAGTCAATAGCTTTTCAGGCTTACCTCAGCTACCTCTTAAGATATGCTAATAGATCTAGCGGTGGAGATAATGAATCCATGGATCTAATCCCCTTTTAAAGCTGTCTACGCCTGTGGCCATCACTACATCCTCCGGCAGCAGATTCCACTTTTTAATCACTCGCTGTCAATATTCCCTCTAACCTGTGGAGTCTTGTGAGCAAAAATTCTACTTTGCGAGCTCCTGGCATTAAAGTTATGAGCAGCAATTTGGCTACTGCATAAATTACTTGGTTCTGGAACCACCATTCCTGAGCTAAAATGAAAATGTGTGAGCTAGAGGCTAAAAACTGTGAGCTAGCTCACACTAACTCAGCTTAGAGGGAACACTGCTCGCTGTGTAAAGTAGCATTTCCTTTTGTCCATCCTGAACCTACTGCCCGTCAGCTCCATTGGATGCCCTCAAGTTCCGGTATCGAGGGACAGGGGGACCAAGTTCTCTTTGTCTGTCCGAAACACTTGAGACCATTTGAAAACAAAAGTTTGGGCCCCCAAAGACCCTCCCCAACTTGCTCCGACATTTACCGTGCTTATAGAAATCCAAGATTTCTCGAAGCTGCTGGGTTGTCCGAGTGCAGAGGATTTCGGCCAGCGTGGCTCCGTCTGGGACCTGCGGCGACGAAGGGCGGGCGACCGAGTAACTCTGTGGGGACAGGAATTTGAAAAGGATGCAGCTGGGAAATTCCTGGAGATTTGGGAGTGGTGAACGGGGAGGGCAGGGTCTGGGGAGGCGAGGGAACTCAGTGGGGCCATAGACGTCCACCCTCTGACGCTACCATTTCCTCCAGGGGGATTGAAGCCTGTAGTCTGTTTGACCACCGTAATTCTGGGAGAATTTAGCCACACCTGGAGGTTGCTAAAGCAGTCAGGGCTCTTTTTGTCGAAAAAGCCCAGCAGGAACTCATTAGCATAACAGGCCACACCCAACAGCAGGAACTCATTAGCATATTGGGCCACACCCCTGACAGCACAGCTCATTAGCACATTAGGCCGCACCCCCATGTTCCCAGAAGTGTGGTCATCCAGCCACACCCACCTTTTGCTTCTTATTCTGTTTACCTTGTTTGTTGTCAAAACCCAGGAACGCCTTTTTTTGTAGCAGGAACTCCTTTGCATGTTAGGCCACACACCCCCTAATGTAGCCAATCCTAATGAGTTTCTGCTGTTGGGTGTGGCCTATTATGCTAATGAGTTCCTGCTGGGCGTGGCCAACTTGGGAGCCAGCCGGAACTCCGTTCCTGTGCGTTCCTGCCCCAAAATAGCCCTGCTAAAGCTATTTTACATGCGGAAAGACTGCTGTATGGCAAAACAACGACGACGACAACAACCCAGAGACTCTTTAGAGAAGGGGCAGGGCCGTGGCTCAGTTGGTAGAACACCCGCTTGGCATGCAGAAGGATCCAGGTTCAATCCCCGGGGCAGGGGTGGCCAAATTGTGGTAGCCACACGCCACTTTTTCACACATACTGTGCGGCTCCCAGCAGGGTGGCTCAGGAAGCTAAAGATCATTAGCAAACAAATTTTGGGCCCTGGTCACACGGGCCAGATAACGCTGGGGGGGGGAGGCATGGCTGTTCGCCGCGGAGCAAAATAAAGCATGGTAGCCCGATCACATGGTCCCCCGGGTCTCCGCGCTTCGGCTGTTAGCTGGCGATCATATGGCGATGCTGCAGCGTAGCAAAGAGCGGCGCGGCGCAATCACGCTTGTGCGCATGCGCAGTTCCGCGGAGCTGCACTGCTTTCAGTGTTCTGTTTGTGCGCATGCACTTATGAACAACATCTGCTTTGCGAAGGGACGTGGATGGGCGTCGGATGCCATGGGATACTAGCGCTCCCGTGATCAAACGCCCGCCCGTGCCACGTGTTTTCTGGATACTAGTGCACTTTCCTTAGTACTTTTTAACTCCGCATCTTCGGCGGGATGCCACGGGTTGGCCATGGGTGCGCTATGCTTCCCAGATGTTGCGGTGTGATCGCGCCCCGAAAGTCTGCCCAACATTTGTGCCTTTCACGTGGCAAATTCTCCGTGTGACCGGGGCCATCATTGGACAAAATATCATTATCAATATCTGCTTTTACCACTTTTGATATCATTTTTGACAGTCTCGTTTAATCTTAATAAAAAGCAAATTTGCATATTTCCCCAGTAAAAACGTGTAATATTTGTTCATGTCTTCTGGCTCTCAAACATCTGACGTTTATTCTGTGTGGCTCTTACGTTAAGCAAGTTTGGCCAACCCTGCCGCAGTGTCTCCAGTTAAAAGGACCAGGCAGGAGGTGATGTGAAAGACCTCCGCCTGAGACCCTGGAGAGCTGTAAAGAGGGGCTGTGGCTCAGTGCCAGAGCCTCTGCTTGGCATGCAGAAGGTCCCAGGTTCAATCCCCTGCATCTCCAGTTAAAAGGACCAGGCAGGAGGTGATGTGAAAGACCTCTGCCTGAGACCCTGGAGAGGAGCTGCCAGTCCGAGTAGACAATACTGAGACCCTGGAGAGCTGCTGCCAGTCTGAGTAGACAATACTGAGACCCTGGAGAGCTGCTGCCAGTCAGAGTAGACAATACTGAGACCCTGGAGAGCTGCTGCCGGTCAGAGTAGACAATACTGAGACCCTGGAGAGCTGCTGCCGGTCAGAGTAGACAATACTGAGACCCTGGAGAGCAGCTGCCAGTCAGAGTAGACAATACTGAGACCTTGGAGAGCAGCTGCCAGTCCGAGTAGACAATACTGAGACCCTGGAGAGCAGCTGCCAGTCTGAGTAGACAATACTGAGACCTTGGAGAGCAGCTGCCAGTCCAAGTAGACAATACTGAGACCCTGGAGAGCTGCTGCCAGTCTGAGTAGACAATACTGAGACCTTGGAGAGGAGCTGCCAGTCTGAGTAGACAATACTGAGACCCTGGAGAGTTGCTGCCAGTCTGAGTAGACAGTACTGAGACCCTGGAGAGCAGCTGCCAGTCTGAGTAGACAATACTGAGACCCTACAGAGCTGCTACCAGTCTGAGTAGACAATACTGAGACCTTGGAGAGCAGCTGCCAGTCTGAGTAGACAATACTGAGACCCTACAGAGCTACTACCAGTCTGAGTAGACAATACTGAGACCTTGGAGAGCAGCTGCCAGTCAGAGTAGACGATATGGCCCAAGGGTCTGGTTCATTATAAGGCAGTTTCATGTGTTCAATCCCAGGAATGTTCTGTTTACCTTCTTTTACCCTGTCCCAGGGTTCTAGGGCTCCATCGCCAATTTCCCAGAGCCCTGCATAGCTAGAGGGGACATTAAAGGCAGCCAGTGGGAAAGCGTCTCATAGAGCTCCCCCTCCCTGGCAGTCCTGAAGCAGCGGCTGGAACAAACACTTGTCAGGGATCCTGCATTGAGCAGGGGGTGGGACTAGATGGACTCTGTAATGATTCCTCGTTTTATGAGTGTGTGTGTGCCTTTAAATGCTTGGTTGGAGTGCATGGTTAGTAGACTAGAGGGATTGAGAGAGACAAATGTGCTGTGATTGGTGGATGACAGAGTGTGGGAGGGTTTTTGATGAGAATCTGTGTGTGTGTGTCAGTTATGAGAGACTGTTAGAAATCAGTTGGAATTGTTCAGTCAGAGAGTTAAGTACCTGAGTGTTCAGCTAGTTCTGAGTGAGTTCTTAAAGAGGGCAGTATAGATGTCCTTAGCCTGCGTGGCTTACTATAGGAAAGAGCCATTTTGATGTGTGCCTCCCTCATGAACCTGAAGAAATGTCCACCACATCCCCACTCCCTCACACCAACTCACACTCACACCTCTCAGTGCCCCCCCCAGAAAGTTCCTGGCATACGTTGAGCCACATACACCAATGCTACAAGGAGGAGGCAATTTAGGAATGTGGCAAGGACATTTGCACATAGTACTCCTGCGGAGCACTGAGCTGCACAGAACAGCACAGTCTCCATATGAGCAAAATAATCCAGGAACACAAGTAGAGAGGCCATCACTTTTGTGGAAAGTGGCAGGAGTTGACTTAACAGACAACTGTTTCTTAAATGTTGCCTGCTAGGGGGGGTTGCACGCATGCGTTAACTCGGCAGGACGCCTGGCTCCGAGCTCTCTCCAAACACTAAGGTATTTATAGCTTAAACAACTGCAAACAACTTCAAGCCTAGCATATAATTAGGTGCTAAACATTAAACAACAGCTGTGCCAAGCCAGAAGGTTAGAGATAAGAGTTTACTCACTCTATTTCAGCAAGCAAACGCAGCGAAATAAACGGCCGGCTTGTTGAGCCCTAATTAACGTCTAACGATGGCAAGATCGATTAAGGATCTCTCTGAGCAAATATCAGTGTTGCAGAATACTTTTCTTCAATCTCAAGATAAGATTTCAGAAGAGATTAAAGCGGTAAGACAGGACTTGGCTGAGTTAAAGAAAGATATATCCCATATAAAAAAAATTGCTGACTTTGCGAAGAATAAAGCTTTACAAAATGAGCAGAAGATCAATGTTTTGGTTGGCCAGATGGCAGATATTTCTGATAGAAATCGTCGAGCTAATCTAATTATTTCTGGAATCTCTGAGGAGATAGCAGCCAAAAACCTGGAGGAAACACTAAGGAGCTGGCTGGAGGCTCAGGCCATTAAGATTCAGCCAGAAGATATTGAGAGGGCACACCGTCTCCAGGGGAGAAGCAGGGGAGGAGCCCCACGGGACGTTATTATTAAGTTCTCTAGGGAAAAAACACAACAGCAAATATATAAAGAGCTAAAAAAGAAGACGGATTTAAGCTTCAAGGGCAGGAAAATTTGGCTCAAACGCGATTTTTGTCAAGAAACTCTGAAGAAAAAAAGTCTGATGCGGCCCTATGCCCAAAAACTTTACTCAAACAATATAAAATTCACATGGGGCTATCCAGCCACAATAATTATATTTCAAGAAGGGAAGAGGCTTATGGCACGGAATGCTCAGGAGGCCAAAGAACTGCTTAGAAAATTTGGCATAAACGATGAAGATGTAAGAGAACAGGAAATGGAAGAAGGCCCAGACCTAGAAGAAGACACAGACGCGGAGGAAGGAACGTCAGACAGAGGGGGGAAAAGGCCCAGGACAGAGGCATTTGAAGGAACCACCTAAAGGGAAGTACCCACTCAATTTTAAGCTAATGTATATATTATAAGTAGTAAGGGGGAGGAGGGGATGTGTGCACTCCATGAAGTGGAGAGAGGAGAGGAATTGTTCTCTCAAGGGGATTTCTCTGCCACAGGGGGAGGGGAAGGGGAAGGGAAGATTAACTAAGGGTTTGGAAAAATCGCAGCCATGGGGACCTAAAGCCCAGAACCATAAAGAGTATGGATAAAACACATAATCGAAAAGCTGGATCGTAAGGCCACATGGGAAGATAAGACTAGGGGATCATGATGAAGTGGAAGACCTACCTGGAATGGATACCGACAGAAGGAAGAAAAGACATTCAGAGCAAGATTTGGACTTTGTGCCCGTGGCTGGGAATATAGGACTAAAACACCGGGATAGTATAGGGGGGAGCGGGAGGGGGGAGGGAAAAAATTACTTTGTAATGAATGGTCAAAAGATAATATGTAACATTTGTGAAAAACAATTAAAAATAATTTTTTTAAAAAAAACTTTATGTCTCCCGTTGTAACCTTAGGGAGAGCGGTGGGGTCCAAAACCTTATTGGATCTGCACCTCCCTCCTTTGTTGATCAATAAAGTACAAGATCTGATTCTGCTCTACAGGACTGTACTGAGTGTTTTCTCAAATTGGGCTGGGGAAACACACACAGTCGGACAGGATTATTTTCTGTACATCAAATGGAGGTTCGCACGGAGATCTTGCTGCCATCACGGGGAACTTCTGCTTTGCTGTGACTTCCAGGTGTGTCTCTGTAAGCGGCAAACCTACGATGACGCAGCAGCAGCAGAACTGGAGGAAGAAGCAGGAGACGGCCAGTTCCACTGTGGGCCTGATAGGAGCCCTCCGGGGGCCTCATCCGGCCCCCGGGCCGCATGTTTGACACCCCTGCTCAAGGGGGAAATGAAGTTTTCCGTCTGTACACTGAAAACTCATGAACATTTTTTAAAGAATTTTGTCGAAGAGGCTCTGGCACTCCATTCCGGCGTGTTCCCCCAGGAAAAAAAGCCCCGAAGTACTGATTAGGACTGGGAAGGCCTGAGTTCAAATCCACGCTTAGCCACCACGAAGCCCACTTTGTGATGTTGGGACAGTCACGCTCCCTGTCATCCTAAAGTGCCCCGCAAGGTTTCCGGAACGATAAAACTGGGGAAGGGAGAACCTTGAACGCTGCTTCGAGTGGAAGGAAACCAGGAGAAAAGCATTTAGAAAGACGCTTTCTTGCAGCGCAAAACATCAGCAGGCGGGTTAAAGTGCCAGGGCATTTTTCAACCCCAGGTGGTGCTGAGCCCGCACCAAGCCATACCTTCATGGCCAGTTTGATCTCATGAGCATCGTATTGTGCCGCTGGCTTCAGCAGTGCCACCACAGCTGTCTCCAAGTTCCCGGACACGGCAGCTTGCAGGGTCTTCAGCAGATCCTGGAGAGGGGAAGCAGAGGAAGGCTTTGGAGGAGGGATCCCCAACAGGGCGCCCATGGGCACTTACCACATGTTTATAAAAAGTGGGTGGGGTGGGGTGGGGTGAGGCCCAGCAAGCCTTCTAACTGGCCACTGGAGATTTGATTGGCGGGAGGCTTTTAAAAAATCTTGCTTAGGATGCTTATGAAATACTGGACATGGATGGACCAAGGGTCTGACTCAGTATAAGGCAGCTTCTTGTGTTCATATCTCGCCAGGTCGTTGGCAAATCTCAACCCACCTCCCAGGCAACTAATTCCTGCATGTACCTATTTTAGCACTTTCCAGCTGCCTCCACATGCTGCAGTGAGATTTTCAGCCACATTACATAAGAACATAAGAGAGACGCCAATGTTGGGTCAGGCCGAAGGCCCATCCAGCCCAACACTCTGTGTCACACAGTGGCCAGAAATACCAGGTGCCATCAGGAGGTCCAGCAGTGGGGCCAGGACATTAGAAGCCCTCCCACTGTTGACCCCCCCAAGCACCAAGAAGACAGAGCATCACTTGCCCCAGAGCCCCTATCTATACCTTGTGGCTAATAGCTACTGATGGACCTCTGCTCCATATGTTTATCTAATTCCCTTTTGAAGCCGTCCATGCTTGTAGCCGCCACCACTTCCTGTGGCAGTGAATTCCAAGTGTTCATCACTCTTTGGGTGAAGAAGTACTTCCTTTTATCCGTTCTAACCCGACCGCTCAGCAATTTCATGGAGTGCCCACAAGGAGTTCTTGTATTGTGAGAAAGGGAGAAAAGTACCTCTTTCTCTACCTGCTCTTTCCCATGCATAATCTTATAAACCTCGATCATGTCACCCTTCAGTCGTCGTTTCTCCAAGCTAAAGAGCCCCAAGCGCCTTAACCTTTCTTCACAGGGAAAGTGTTCCAACCCTTTTATCATTCGAGCTGCCCTTTTCTGCACTTTTTCCAAAGCTATAATATCCTTTTTAAGGTGTGGTGGCCAGAACTGCACACAGTACTCCAAATGAGGTTGCACCATTGATTTATATAGAGGCATGATGATATTGGCTGATCTGTTTTCAATCCCCTTCCTAATAATCCCCAGCATAGCATTGGCCTTCTTTATTGCAGTCACACACTGTCTCGACATTTTCAGTGAGTTATCTACTACAACTCCAAGATCTCTCTCTTGATCAGTCTCTGCCAGTTCAGACCCCATCAACGTGTATTTACATTCTGCTTGGACAACAGAAAACTTTTTTTTTTGTGGACCCTGCAGGCAGAGTTGCCAACCTCCAGGTGGGTCCTGGAGATTTCCCAGAACTCCAACTGCTCCCCAGACCACAGAGGTCAGGTCCCCTGGAGAAAATGGCCGCTTTAGGGGATGGACCCTATGGCATGATACGTGGCTGAGGTCCCTCCCCTTCCCAAACCCCGGCCTCCCCAGGCTCCACCCCCAAAATCTCCAGGTAGTCCCCCACCCAGACACTGTGGCCTTCTCCCCACCTTACCTGTTGAGTGAAGGACTGGAAACCTTCGGCAATTTGCTGTCTCTGTCCATTGGTCCGGTTGGTGAGCAAGTGGGTTATGGTCCTGTAGTCGACGGCTGATAGGTTGGGGAGGGAGAGAGAGTCTGTTTGGTGGCCAGCAAAATACTGGACAATACATAGAAGAGCATCAGATAAGCCCCATCTAGTCCAGCATCCCGTCTCACACAGGGGCCAGCCAGTTCCTCTGGAGGGCCAGCAACAGGGCAGAGAGGCCGAGGCCTTCCCCTGAGAAGGACATCAGGAGAGCCCTGCTGGGTCAGACCAGGGAGGGTCCATCCAGTCCAACCTCCCGTCTCACACAGGGGCCAACCAGATCCTCTGGAGGGCCAACCACAGGGCAGAGAGGCCGAGGCCTTCCCCTGAGAAGAACACCAGAAGAGCCCTGCTGGATCAGACCAGGGAGGGTCCATCTAGTCCAGCATCCCGTCTCACACAGGGGCCAACCAATTCCTGTGGAAGGCCAACAACAGGGCAGAGAGGCCCAGACCTTCCCCTGAGAAGAACATCAGAAGAGCCCTGCTGGATCAGACCAGTGAGGGTCCATCTAGTCCAGCATTCTGTCTCACACAGGGGCCAACCAGTTCCTCTGGAGGGCCAACAACCGGGCAGAGAGGCAGAGGCCTTCTCCTGATAACAACCTCAGAAGAGCCCTGCTGGGTCAGACCAGTGAGGGTCCATCCAGTCCAGCCTCCTGTCTCACACAGTGGACAACCAGTTCCTCTAGACGGCCAACAACAGGGTATAGAAGCCGAGGCCTTCCTAAGAACACCAGAGGAGCCCTGCTGGGTCAGACCAGTGAGGGTCCATCCAGCTCAGCATCCTGTCTCACACAGAGGCCAACCAGTTCCTCTGAAGGGCCAACAAGAGGGCAGAGAGACAGGCCTTCATGAGAACCTAAGAATATCCCTGCTGGATCAGACCAATGAGGGTCCACCTAGTCCAGCATCCTGTCTCACAAAATGGCCCACCAGCTCCTCTGGAGGCCCGAGGCCTTTCCCTGATGTTGCCTCATCCTGGCTCTGGGATTCAGAGGATTAGTGCCTTTGAATGTGATGGTTCCCTTTAGTCACATAAGAACATAAGAGAAGCCAATGTTGGATCAGGCCAATGGCCCATCCAGTCCAACACTCTGTTGCACAGTGGTCAAAAACACCAGATGCCACCAGGACGTCCAGCAGTGGGGACAGGACACAAAAAGCCCTCCTACTGTTGCCCCCCCTCCAGGCACCAAGAATACAGAGCATCACTTGCCCCAGACCGAGAGCTCCTATCTATACCTTGTGTCTAATAGCCACTGATAAACCTCTGCTCCATATGTTTATCCAATTCCCTGCTTGTAGCTGCCACCACCTCCTGTGGCGGTGTGTCACTATGGCTAATAGCCACTGATAGATCTATCCTCCAGTTTGGTACAGTGGTTAAGTGCGTGGACTCTAATCCGGTAGAACCAGGTTTGATGCCCCACTCCTCCACTTGCACCTGCTGGATGACCTTGGGCAAGCCATTGTTCTGTCAGAGCTGTTCTCTCACGGGCAGTTCTCTCAGAGCTCTCTCAGCCCCGCCTACTTCACAGGGTGTCTGTTGTGGGGAGGGGAAGGGAAAGGAGATTGTAAGCCCCTCTGAGACTGCAAGTGAAGGGTGGGGTATGAATCCAATCTCTTCTTCTCTTCTCCAGGAATTTGGCTAAGCCCCTTTTAAATCCAGCTACCACTCCATCCTCTGGCAGTGAATTCCACAGTTTAACGACTCCCTGTGTAAAGTAGTATTTCCTTTTCACTGTCCTGAATCTACTGCCCATCAACTTCTTTGGATATCTTCGGCTTCTTGTATTTTGGGAGAGGGAGCAAAGGTTGTCTTTGCCTACTCTCTCCACCCCGTGCATAATTTCTTTATATATATATATATGTAGGTTTTCACATATAAAACATCCATTTGTGTGTATATATATGTATATATATATGTATATGTAATGTATATGTATATGTACATACATTTAGAGTCATTTAATTGTTTTCTAACTAACTATACATCCCCGACCATCTTTTTATAAACATTTCTTCATTTCCCCCCTGTAACATTAAACTTAGTCCATTTCAGCTACTCTCATCAATCTCTCTATTATTTCATCTTTATTGGGTATGTTATCTTGCTTCCAATATTTTGCCCATAGTATTCTTGCAGTTGTGATTATATTAAGTATTTTTCATTATAACTAAGACCTTCTGGAATTATATTTAACAAGTATATTTCAGGCACTAAGTCAATTTTCACCTTTACCATTTCCTGTATTATCTTCTGTATATTCTTCCAGTATTCTGTATATTCTTCCAGTTGTTGTTGTTCAGTCGCACAGTCGAGTCCGACTCTTCGCGACCCCATGGACAAGATCTCGCCAGGCCCTCCTGTCTTCCGCCGTCCTCTGAAGTTGGCTCAATTTCATGTTTGTTGCATCTATGACACTGTCTAACTATATCATCCTTTGCCGTCCCCATCTTCTTTGACCTTCAATCTTTCCCAGCATCAGGGTCTTCTCCAGTGAGTGCTCCCTTCTCATTGGGTGGCCAAAGTATTTGAGCTTCAGTTTCATTATCTGGCCTTCCAGGGAACAGTCAGGGTTGATTTCTTTTAGGGTTGACTGATTTGATCTTCTTGCAGTCCAAGGGACTCTCAAATGTCTTCTCCAGCACCATAGTTCAAAAGAATCTATTATTTGGCGCTCGGCCTTCCTTAGAGTCCAACTCTCGCAGCCATACATGACTTCCAGTACCCCGTGCATAATTTCATAAACCCCTGCCCAGTCCCTCCTTAGTCATCTCTCTTCCAAACGTGAAACACACAAATCCAATCTGCAGAATTCCTCTGGTCGGGAATAGTTTGTATGGCACCTCTACAACACTGCAGAATTCATTCTGGCATTTTCAGCCACGAAGAAAAGGCAAAAGACCACTGTGGCGCTGAAACCACATAAAACCTTCCCCGGGATCTTGCCGCTGACTACTCAGCTCTTTACCACTTGCCTGTGTCCCATCTTCCCTCCCAGGAATTGAAGGTGTCATCTATGTCATCTTCACAACAAACCTGTAAGGTAGACTAAGTCGAGAGTATGACTGGCCCCAAATCGGGATTGATTTCACACCAGAGCTGCGCCGCGGCTGCGCCTCCCTTTGGCCCACTTCTATTGGTCAATTTCCCACTCGAAGCCACGCGGCCCCATTTTGACCCGTGGCTTTGCCCGAATTCCCCGCGGTTTCGTGATTCTCAAAAAACAGGATCATGAAACCACGGGGGGAATCAGGCAAAGCCGCAGGTCAAAATGCGGCCGCGCGGCTTCAAGTGGGAAACTGACCAATAGAAGAAGAAGAAGAAGAAGAGACTGGATTTATACCCCGCCCTTCACTACTCAAAGGTGTCTCAGAGCGGCCTACAAACTCCCTTCCCCTCCCCACAACAGACACCCTGTGAGGTGGGTGGGGCTGAGAGAGCTCTTGACAGAAACTGCTCTTTTTCAAGGACAGCTCTTGTCAGAACTACGGCTTGCCCAAGGTCATCCAGCCAGGCGCAAGTGGAGGAGTGGGGGAATCAAGCCCGGTTCTCCCAGATTAGAGTCCCCGCACTTCACCACGACACCAAACCGGCTCTCAGGGAGGGTCCATCTAGCGGGGCAAAGGGAAGCGCGACCGCGGCGCAGCTCTTGTGTGAAATGGTCACAGTAAAGTCCAGAAATGAGTGAGGATTTGAATTCAGTTCTCACTAGCCCTAGTCTGATGCTAGCACCTGAGATTTCAGTAGGCATTGCTTTCAAGCTTATCTTCTCAGTCATGAGGGCTAGAAACCTGGATTTTCAAATCAAGCCATGATCAGTTTCTTTGACAATGCCCCACAGGATTGCAGTATACCCCCCCTGCCCAGCTAGGCACGAAAGGATGACCGAAGTTCCAACACTTCAAGAGAGCCATCCTGTCCCCCCTCAACCTCCTCTTCTCCAGACTGAACCTTCCCAAATCCCACAGCCTTTCCTCGCAGGGCTTCTTGGGCTCCAGGCCCCCAAACATCCTCGTCGCTCTCCTCCGCACCCTCCCGTCCACATCCTTTTTGAAGTGAGGCCTCCAGAACTGCACACAAGACTCCAGGTGCAGCCTGACCAATGCAGTGTACAGCGGGACCGTGACATCTTGCAATTTGGATGTTATGCCTCTATTGATAACTGTAAGAGTGGTTGAGCAGTGGAACAGTCTGCCTCGGGAGGTGGTGGATGCTCCTTCGCTGTATGTTTTCAAGCAGAGGCTGGACGGCCCTCTTTTGGGTATGTTGTAGGTCTATCTTTCGGCTATGCTCCTGCAGAGTGCAGGGGGTCGGACTAGATGACCTGCAAGGTCCCTTCCAGCTCTAACATTATATGATTCTATGATACACTCCAAGATTGCATTAGCTTTTCTTGCTGCTGCATCACATTGATAACTCATATTTAGTTTACTGTCCACCCATACCTTTGCCATGGTGGCAAAGAGTGTGATCTTGGCGGCCAGTCCTTTACTTCTCGACCTAACCAACCTCACAGGGTTGTTGTGCAGACTCTAACAGTGGGAACAAATCCACAGGCATACCCTTGGACAGACTGCTGCAAGGATGATGGACAATAAAGCCTTACCTTCACCTGTGATGGCATCGAGGAGAGACTGGACATCCCGCTCTACTTCAAAGCTCAGGAGAGGCCGAATAGTCCCCAAAGTCCCCCAGACGGCAGTCTAGAGAAAAGGAGGGCAGAAAAAAGGAACCATCAGAATCTCAAACTTTCTTAGGAAACTGGAGAAGTCAAAAGAATCTGGCCAATAAGGAGAGGTAGCCTATGGCGTAGTGGTTAGAGCATCAGAATAGCGCTTGGGACATTCAGGTTCGAATCCTCACTCTCCCACGGAAGTTCACTGGGGGACCTTGGGCCCACCCAAATCTCGCAGCCGAACCCACCTCACAAGTCTGCTGCTAGGGCTGCCAACGTCCAGGTGGGGCCTAGAGATCTCTGGGAATTACACCTGAGCTCCAGACTACGGTGATCAGTTCCCCTGAAGAAAATGGATCCTTTATACTTTAACAGAAAAGTAGTAAGTATATTACAGGGGAAATTCCAAATAGGTGTGGGTCCAACAATGAATATTATTGTGACTATTGTATTTTGTTTTTTTTTAAGCCCCCGGAGGGGGATTTTTTTATATATATATAAAATACTACATAAACTACCAAGAAAAAATGGGGATAGGGGGACTACAATTTAGGGAGAAAGAAAAGATAACCCACACTAAGCTAAAAACCCAAGGTTAGGAGATCATTCCCTGTTAAAATGCTGTTAGGAAAAGAAAAGGCTGTTCATAAACAATATGCTTTGTGAGATCCTGTCTTTCTAAGCTTATATGTTAGATTGTTACTTGTGATGAGGAGATTTCCCGAGCATCTCCTCCAGCTCGCTTCATAAAGGCAATTTGCAAAGTCCTTCCGCCTTTACATCTATACTAAAACTCTCTAAATTCTTGATAGCTTCTTAGACGTTCACTGCAGCCCAATCTTCTTCCATCCAAAGGAATAGAACCGCTAGTCTTAAGCCTCTTCCGCTCTGGTCTCGGGGTCCAGTGGCATCTCAAAGGTTTCTTATGAAGGGTACCTCCAACTGCTTTTTCTCAGCAGACTTTAAGATGACACTTTCTAAGCACACACGCAGAGAAGAAGTCAAATCCTTGTAAATCTCTCCTGTTTCTCTTGTGCTTTTTCTTCTTTTCTCATTGAGACTATCGTTAATGTATTTTTAGAATCAATGCCTGTGAGATTCCTATATAGGGTACGATGGATTTACTTATCAACTTTTATACTCACTTTATTTTATAGAGACTGAGAAACCAATGTAATATAATGTAATTTCAATGTAATATCACTGGAATTCCGTGTTTATAGATTTGTCCCTGAGGAAAGACCAGAGGTCTGAAACACTTAAATATCCGGAATAAGTGTTGAAAGAGAGATTGAATTTGGATCAGACTGCTTTTGAGGATACAAGATTGTTAGAAGGATATAGACTAAGAGAGTCTGGAGCAGACTGCTATGTGTAATGTTATCGACCTTTGTATATTTTCTGTGAAGGAATAAGTGAGCCAGTTTGGTGTAGTGGCTAAGCGCATGGACTCTGATCTGGGAGAACCGGGTTTGATTCCCCACTCCTCCACTTGCACCTGGCTGGATAACCTTGGGCAAGCCGTAGTTCTGATAAGAGCTGTCCTTGAAAAAGAGCAGTTTCTGTCAAGAGCTCTCTCAGCCCCACCTGCCTCACAGGATGTCTATAGTGGGGAGGGGAAGGGAAAGGAGTTTGTGAGCCGCTCTGAGACACCTTTGGGTAGTGAAGGGTGGGGTGTAAATCCAATCTCTTCTTCTTCTTCTTCTTCTTCTTCTTCTTCTTCTTCTTCTTCTTCTTCTTCTTCTTCTTCTTCTTCTTCTTCTTCTTCTTCTTCTTCTTGTTTTTCACTACCAGACACTAAATGATGTTATGACTTTAATCTAGTCTCCTTTGTCATTGCATTATTCTGCGGGCATCTAGCACACATCTGTATATATTTTTTCATACTCAACTCATCTATCGCCGAGGCCAAGCCCCGGGAGAAAGGAAGCCTGCGAAACCCCCCCCCCCACTCACCTTATCGGCCAGGGGCAACTGCTTGAGGATTTTATTCGCCAGGGAGCTCTTCTCCGGCCTGCTAGCAAGGGGCATCCTGGAGCCCTCAGAGACGACGGAGGGGTGGCAGGGAGACTGCGGCCCTGTAGCGAACAGGAATCCACTGGCGACGAGGGTGCTTCTTTTCGATTGGTTGGTTTTCTTTAACACATTTATGAACGCCTTTCTTCCTCACGGAGCTCCGTGCAGCTTACAAACACAGATAAAACAAGTATAAAACAAAAGACATTAAAAAATAAAAAATTGAAGATCACAACTCAGGACCGCTAGACGGAGCATAACAACTGGGTCTCGGTTAATTACTCTCGGCACTCCACAATTAAGGCTACATCTACCCATCCATCTCCAATTTTGACATATTTATTTCCTTCAATACATTTTCCCCTGGAAATGGAATCATAGAAGGATAGAGCTGGAAGGGACCTCCCTTCCAGCATAAAACAAGCATAAAACAAAAGACATTAAAAACTAAAAAATTGAAGATCGCTACTCAGGACCGCTAGACGGAGCATAACAACCGGGTCTCGGTTAATTACTCTCGGCACTCCACAATTAAGGCTACATCTACCCATCCATCTCCAATTTTGACATATTTATTTCCTTCACTACATTTCCCCCTGGAAATGGAATCATAGAAGGATCGAGCTGGAAGGGACCTCCGGGGTCATCTAGTCCAACCCCCTGCACAATGCAAGAAATTCACAAATACCTCCCCCATGCACACACACTCAGTGACCCCTGCTCCATGCCCAGAAGATGACAAAAGAAAACCGCCAGAATCTCCAGCCAAACTAGCCTGGAGAAAAATGGCTTCCTGACCCCAAAGTGGCGATCGGCATTTCCCTGGGCATGTCAGAAAGGGCCACGAGAACTAAGCACTGAGGCAACCCTTCCTGCCCTCCCTTCTCATGAACTGCCTCATTCCACAGAATCTGCATTACTGTCAGATGGCCATCGAGCCTCTGCGTGAAAACCTCCAGGGAAGGAGAGCCCACCAACTCCTCCCGAGGAAGCCTGTTCCACTGAGGAACCGCTCCAACTGTCAGGACGTTCTTCCAGATGTTTAGCCGAAAACTCTTCTGATTTAATTTCAACCCGTTGATTCTGGTCTGACCTTCTGGGGCAACAGAAAACCACTCCGCCCCATCCTCTCTAAGACAGCTCTTCAAGTACTCAAAGACGGTTATCGTATCCCCTCTCAGTCGTCTCCTCTCCAGGCTAAACATACCCAGCTCCTTCAACCTTTCCGCACCATCTTCATTGCCCTCCTCTGGACACATTCCAGCTTGTCTATGTCCTTCTTAAATTGTGGTGCCCAAAACTGAACACAGTACTCTAGGTGAGGTCTAACCGGAGCAGAGTAAAGCGATACCATCACTTCGCGTGATCTGGACACTAGACTTCTGTTGATACAGCCCAAAATCACATTCGCCTTTTTAGCTACCGCATCACATTGCTGGCTCATGTCCCGTGTCTGCTCTACTAATACCCCGGGATCCCTTTCGCACATACCGCTGCCAAGACAAGTCTCCCCCATCCTATAATTGTGCATTTGATTAAACCCAAACAAACGGTAACCGTGTCAACTAAACTGGTTATTCCTGTTTGGTCCTAGACTTTGGTAAACACCTTCATTGTGCTGGGTGCTAATTGACTGCTCGCTCTCTACCTATATGCATGGACTGGCAACTTCCATTCCACTGTATCCGAAGAAGTGTGCCCGCACACCAAAGTTTATACCCAAAAGTAAACTCTGTTGGTCTTAAAGGTGCCACTGGACTCAGACTTTGTTTAACCAAACACAGTCCTAAATAGAACTGTCTTCAACTGCTTCCGAAAGATCGACAGGGAGGGGGCCAGGTGCACCTCCCCGATCCTGCATTGAGCAAGGGGTTGGACCAGATGGCTTCTATGGCCCCTTCCAACTCTATGATTCTGTGATTACATAACCATGGGGTCGTCACCGAAAAAGCCCCGTCTCGTATATCCACCAAATGAGCTTCTTTGATTGGTGGGACCGTCAGGAAGGCCTCTCCCTGTAATCTTAATTCCCGGGCAGGAACATACGGATAAAGAGGTTCCTTCTGGGACCCCAGTCCCAAGCCATATAGGGCTTTGAAGCACAAAACCAGCACCTTGCATTGGGCTCAGGAGTGGATCGGTAGCTGGGACAATTGCTGTAATATCGGGGGTCACGTGTTCCTGGTAGTTGGCGCCAACCAGGAGGAGGAAGGAGAGGAGGAGGAGATTGGATTTATACCCCTGCCCTTCACTCCGAGTCTCAGAGTGGCTTACAAACGCCTTCCCCTTCCCCTCCCCACAACAGGCACCCTGTGAGGTAGGCGGGGCCAGGAGAGCTCTTTCGAGGACTGCCCTTGAGAGAACAGCTCTGAGAGGACTTGTGACTGACCCAAGGTCACCCCATCAGCTGCATGTGGAAGAGTGGGGAATCAAACCCGGTTCTCCCAGATTAGAGTCTGCGCACTTCACCACGACACCAAACAGAGGAGGAGGAGGAGGAGACTGGATTTATACCCTGCCCTTCACTACCCGAAGGAGTCTCAGAGCGCCTTACAAATGCCTTCCTCTTCCCCTCCCCACAACAGACACCCTGTGAGGTAGGCGGGGCCGGGAGAGCTCTTTCGAGGACTGCCCTTGAGAGAACAGCTCTGAGAGGACTTGTGACTGACCCAAAGTCACCCCGGCAGCTGCATGTGGAGGAGTGGGGAATCAAACCCGGTTCTCCCATATTAGAGTCCGCGCACTTCACCACAACACCAAACTGGCTCTGCAGTTCTGCACTGGCTGCCTCCTCTGAACAATCTTCAACGGTAGCCCCTCGCAGACTGCACTGCATGAAAGAACTGTGCGAGCCTATGAGGTTGGGCTACACCCGCCTGACTCAGTATCCCGTTTCCAGCAGCGAGTAGCCAGGTTCTTCCAGCCAGCTCTCGAGTCAGGCATGGAGGCAGCGGCCCTTCCCTGGGGCTTATTCCCCTGCAGATGACATTCAGAGGTAGACTGCACCAGACTGTGGAGGCTTCATCTTCATTTCACAGCAAAAAGCTGCTGGTAGATCCATTTAAGAGTTACAAGGTTTGCCTGGCTGGATCAGACCCAGGGTGCGTCTAGCCCAGTACCTTGTTTCTGACGGTTTCCGGCTGACCAGACTCCCACCCAAGTACCCAGCCTGATGAAACGCCTTGGTATGATGCCGACAGCGCTCCCCTGTTGCTTATACCCTGCCTCTGGTATTCTAAGGTACACTGCCTCTCTTCACGGAGGCTCTGCTTACATTGTCACGGTTAATACGCGCATTGCCCCTCCCGTCTTCTGCAGACATTTGATCGCTTGATCATAATTGGATTAAATTGCGCTTCTCCGCCCTGTCAAATCCTTAGCTTACAATACGGAGCAATGTTTGAAAAGAACAAATAGACACCAATTAGAAAGGAAGAGCCCGTCCCAAATTGTCCTTCACAGGAAAGCAAATGAGCAGTCGTGACATTAGAGTCGCAACAGAGACTGTCGTTTGGTGTGGCGGTTAAGAGTGGCAGGACTCTAATCTGGCAGAACCAGGTCTGATCCCCCACTCCTCCACATGCAGCCAGCTGGGTGACCTTGGGCCAGTCACAAGTCGTTTCACAGCTATTCTCTCAAGGGCAGTTCTCGAGAGAGCTCTCTCGGCCCCACCTACTTCACAGGGTGTCGTGGGGAGGGGAAGGGAAAAGAGATTGTAAGCTGCTCTGAGACTCCTTTGGCTAGTGAAGGGTGGGGAAGGAAGGAAGGAAGGAAGGAAGGAAGGAAGGAAGGAAGGAAGGAAGGAAGGAAGGAAGGAAGGAAGGAAGAAAGAA